CCCTGCTCCTCCCTGCCTGGCTCTGCTCCTCCCTACCTGACCCTGCTCCTCCATACCTGACCCTGCTCCTCCCTGCCTGGCTCTGCTCCTCCCTGCCTGACCCTGCTCCTCCATACCTGACCCCGCTCCTCCCTGCCTGGCTCTGCTCCTCCCTGCCTGATCCTGCTCCTCCATACCTGACCCCCCTCTTCCCTGCCTGACCCTGCTCCTCCCTGCCTGACCCCGCTCCTCCCTGCCTGGCTCTGCTCCTCCCTGCCTGACCCCGCCCTGGGCTGCCCTCAGCCTTTGCTTCTCTTGCTTGAGGCTCTGTGTCTTGGGACTGGGAACTGCTTCCTGCCCTCGTCCCTTCAGACCTGGACCGTCACCAACGTCCTGTCACTGCCCTCTTTGTGGACGCTGCACGGTCCTTTGAGGCTTTCCTCTCTGCTCTGAAACAGGCCCTTTATTCAACCCCTCTCCGGTTACCCAGTTGGCAGGTGCCGTCTACTCCCCGCTGGGACCCTGACTGATACAGTATTTTCAGTTCGTCTTTGTACTGTCTCTGCCTAGGCACTCACACAGACTCACACGTGTTCCCTGACCCACTCACTCAGCCTCACCGACTCACACAACTGACACACACGCTCGCTCACACGCACTCATCCCCAAACACACGCACACGCCCGTCCACGGGCAGAGGGACTCTCGGTGCCCCCACAACACTGCCTGTGCCCACCCTTGGGGGAATGCAGGCAGGTCTCCGCTTAGGATCCTGCCCCGCTGAGCCGTGGGGGCGCCCGGCACGCAGGAGCCCTTCTGCGGGGGTGGCTATCACCGTGTGCTCCCTGGAACTGGTGACTCTCGCCAGCTCTTATTTCTTAAATTTTTTAATTAATAATTTAAAAAATTCCTTTGGCCATGCTGCATGGTCTGTGGGCTCTTAGTTCCCCAGCCAGGGATCAAACCCATGCCCGCTGCATCGGCAGCGTGGAGTCTTAACCTCTGGACCTCCAGGGAAGTCGTGCCGGTTCCTATTTTTAGAAATGCTTCACTCTGTCTGGGACTGATGTGGATGAGCCCAGCAACTGCATCTTCTCAAGGTGCTTGGAGAGAAGCCTCATGAAAACACTGAGTTAAAATGGCCTTTGGAACCTTACACCCCGTAGAAGAGACCTAAGAGTAAAAATAAAATCTTTCCACTCAGTTTCAGGTAGGGACAGATGGGAACCTTCAGGAGATCACACAAAGAAAGATTAATTTAGATGGATGGCACCAGGTGCTTTGGGTGGAGGTGGAAGGGAGACGCGTTGTAGCTCAATACGAGGTCACCTTGCCAATGACTGGGGCCGTCAGTGATGGACAGACCTCATCTGGGGCTGCATCGCAGAGACTGCCATAGGAACTGGGAGCAAATGGCCTCTAAGCCTCCTCTAACATGCACCTGTGACCTGGGCCCATCACCTCCCCCTTTGGAGGGTCTACTTCCTTATCTGCTAAATGGTCATGTTAGTCGAGGTGCCTTCGACAGCTATAAATTCTCTGTCTCTGACTTCTGCAGGCAAAGATCCTCAAGATCCTTGGGGTGGGGGCTGGCATTTTGAAAAGAGCTGCAGAAGTAATTAAGGATGGAAACCCGAGTCTCTAGCTGCCTCTGAACGTCTGAGTTTGCAGATTAAAAGAAGGCTGAATCTTGGCTGAATGATTCCATTCCCTCCAGAGCAAACGGCAACAGCAGGACGTTGGGGGTGGGGTGGGGTGGGGGGAAGTCTAGCCTCTGTTGGTGAGGAAGAAGCAGATGAATTTGTTTGGGAGACAAAAGGCTGGGCTCGGAATGGCCCCTCCAGCAGCAGCAGCTAGTGTTTCAGCCTCCCTGGACCTCGGATTCTCCGTCTTTAAAGGGGGTGAACGCACCAACTACACTGACTGCGCTAAAGGTGAATGCCTCTTACCTCCCTGCTCGGGGTGGGAAGCAGCCAAGGAAACGGGTTTGCATCCATGCACCCACGCTTGCTGGCTCTGTGACCTCCAGAGAAGCATTTCACTCGCAAGCCTCTGCTTTCTCATCTGTGAGGTGGGGGGAGGGAAGCTTCTCCCGGGCAGGGGGTGAGGAGCTTTGAGCAAACGCACGTGGGACACTTCACACACCGGCAAGGAGCCTCGTGAGACTCTACGGAGGGGGCATACAGGACCCGCACCGTGGCCGAGCTGAATGAGCCCAGCCGTAACCCTTGTTCTCTCCTCCAAGGTTTTGCATTGGTGGCCAGGAGCTTCCCTGACAGGTGATCTTAGCTCAGCATTGGGCGTCCGTGTGGTGCCTGCAGTTTGCGGCAACACAAGGGCAGTGGCTGGCTCCCAGGGGTGGGGAGTGAGGTTGGGGGGTGCTCTGAGGAGGCAGAGCCAGGGCCACAGAGATGCCCCTTGCACCCTTACTCCTTGGGCTCTCTAGAAACTCTTAAACCATAAGGGTCAAATAGAGCACCTTTGCCTCTTTACACTCAAGCCAAAATCACCGTGGATGGTGACTGCAACTGTGAGATTAAAAGACGCTTACTCCTTGGTAGAGAAGCTATGACAAACCTAGACAGTGTGTGAAAAGGCAGAGATGTTAATTGGCTGACAAAGGTCCATATCATCAAAGCTATGGTTTTCCCAGTAGTCATATATGGATGTGAGAGTTGGACCATAAAGAAGGCTGAGCAATGAAGAACTAACTGATACTTTCGAACTGTGCTGTTGGAGAAGACTCTTTGAGAGTCCCTTGGACTGCAAGGAGATCCAACCAGTCCATCCTAAAGGAAATCAGGCTTAAATATTCATTGGAAGGGCTGTGCTGAAGCTGAAACTCCAATATTTGGCCACCTGATGTGAAGAACTGACTCATTGGAAAAGACCCTGATGCTGGGAAAGATTGAAGACGGGAGGAGAAGGGGGCGACAGAGGATGAGATGGTTGGATGGCATCATCGGCTCAATGGACATGAGTTTGAGCAAGCTCCAGGAGATGGTGAAGGACTGGTGTGGAAGCCTGGAGTGCTGCAGTCCGTGGGGTTGCAAAGAGCAACTGAGCAACTAAACAAAAACAACACTCTAGCCTGGAGATCTTTGGTGGAAGGGTCAGCTATCTGGGGCCCCCAGGGATTATGCTCGCAGGGTCCTTAAAGACCCTCTGACCTGTCTCTCCACAGTTAACCCAGGCTTATTTATGACTGGTCTTCCCTGGGGCTCAGCTGGTAAAGAATCCATCTGCAATGTGGGAGACCCGGCTTAATCCCTGGGTTGGGAAGATCCCTTGCAGAAGGGAAAGGCTGCCCACTCCAGTATTCTGGCCTGGAGAATTCTGTGGACTGTACAGCCCATGGGGTCACAAAGAGTCGGACATGACTGAGCGGCTTTCACTTCACTTATTTAGGATGAGGTCTGACTCACGTCCTGCTGTGCCTGGGGTGACAGAGGGGAGGGATGCAGTGCGTGTGTGGGTGAGCCCACCACGACCAACTGAAGTGAGAACTCCAAACCAGTTCTTCTTGGAATGAAAGACTTTCTTCTAAAGCTGTATGAGACCGCGAGTCGGGGTCTTCTTCCTATCTCTACTCTTCATAAGCTCTCCCACCAGATGAGTTAGCTGGAGGGCTGAAGAATTCCCAGTGGCCAGAGGGAAGTTATGAAGATGAAGACTTGCAGTTTAGATCACAAGAATTTTTATTAATGTGTTACTATTTTAAGCCGCCATACAAATATCCTTTGTATTGATTTCAGTGTGATGTACTGACTGAATAAATATGACAATTTCTGCCAGGGAGCCAAACAGTATTTTTAACCTACTTTAAATTATGTGTTGTTTCCTATGGGTTTTTTTTTTTTTTAAGTTTAGAGTTGATTATAAAGGCACTTTCAATTTTAAAAAATTCTTCTTTCCAGAGAATACACACACATTTTAAACTATTAATTGCAAAGCTTGTTGTTTAGTCTCTAAGTTGTGTGCAACTGTTTGAGATCCCATGGACTGTAGCCTGCCAGCCTCCTCTGTCCATAAAGGAGTGCATAATTATTTTTTAAAACTACAAACAAAGATTAAAAAAAGGAAAATGATCTTTTTCTTATGGATGCCATTATGTTAGGTAATACCATTATAATAGAGGAAATTTGAATATATAGTTGAAATTCATTCTTAATCATATTTTGTCCCCTGATTTCTGCCTATTTACCTAATTTAGCCTGTTTATAGTATGTAACACTGTATTCTTAATCAGGACCCTGCCAGAAATTTTAGGACCTTAAAAAAGTAAGGGGAAACTGCCCCCACCCCCCGCCCCCAGAGAGCTGAAGTTTTCCACACATTGTCTGGTCAGCTCAAGATAATAAGGTTCATAGATAAGGAAATGGGGATGGAAGGAGGGCTTTCAGCTCGTTCCCAATAGTTCGCCCTAAGTTCTTTTCTCTCCCTTTCTTCAAAATGGGGAGAGGGATCCCTTATGTCTCAAAGCCATTGGGAATGTAAATGAGGTGGTATTTAAAGACCGAGTTCTTGTTTGGAAAGTCACTGAAGAGCTAACAGTAACACTGTAATCATTACTTGTCACTCAGATGAAATCTCTTGGTTACGGACAGAGATACAAAATTTCCACCTTTTGAGAAAACCATAGGAGCTATCACCCATGCTTGGTGAAGCAAGAAACCTCAGAAAATTCTGGTGCAGGGGACAAATGGGATGACCCACAGCTTCAGAGCCGGAGGAGCTCAGAATGGGTTCAGAACCACGGAACCAAACGTTTCAGGAGGCCCTGGTCTCGGGGCCTAACTGCCAGCTGGGAGCATGAACCCTCCGCGGGGTCCCTGCCCCTGACGGCGAGCTCGGAGAACCGCATGGGGTCTCCGAGTGGCCGACGGCTGGGAAGTCCTCCCTGATTTTGAGCCGAAACCCAAGAGGGGAACGTGGCACCGTCTCTTCCTGGGGGGCACTGCGGCCTGACGTGTCAGGGTGCCCGCCTCCTCGCAAAGCCCCTGGGGACGGGGCGGGGTTACCTGAAATTGTAGCCCGGGGAGACACTGCTCTTCTGCGAAACGCCGTCCAGCCGGGTGAAGGAGTATCTGGGGATGCACTGGTCCCAGGCCTTGTCCAGATCACACACCCAGCCGATCTTAATGCCCAGGACTCCGCCCTGGAAGGAGAAGGGGGTGGACTGAGCCCTCTGATGGAGCGGGGTGGTGCCGGCGGGGCGGGGCGGTGGGGTCGTGACAAATGAACGGGCCATTCTCCAGGCGGAGGGCAGAGGTGGGGGGGGGGGGGGGGAGAAGAGGGCTTTGTCACGCGACGCTTAGCAAAGAAGCGCTGTAGCTGAGGGTCACAGCCCCCGGGCTTCTCTGATTCCTGTTTTCCGCATCCTTTTTTCTCCCCGTGGCGTTGGCTCTTGTGGAGGCCTGCCCTGTATTGCAGCATGTGGCCCTAGCTGCCCCACAGCGGGTGGGATCTGAGGTCCCGGAGCAGGGATCGACCTGCTGCCCCGGCTTTGCAAGGCGGGCTCTGAACTGCCGGACCACAGGGACGTCCCTGGTGTTTTTTGGTTATCTTTAGTCCCTTAGTTCTCACGCAGGGAAGTGACCACTGATCCACCTTCCTGTGGTATGGGCGCTCCTGGGAGATCGGAGGCCTCTGCCTGCACATGGAGCATGAAGACAGGAGCAGGGGAGAGGGGGCTGGGGGTGGGCAGGAGCTAGGCAGGCAGGAGCACTGCGGGCAGGTGCAGGCACAGGCCGGGCACAGGTCTGGGGTGCCCCCACCCGGGGCATGGCCACACTGCAGCTCCTCCCCGGCCCCCAGGACCCCCTCCACCGGCCAAAGGGCCCCCCCTGACCCCAAGGCAAGAGTGGCTTGGTCCTCACCGTTTGGGCCAGCTTGGCAAAATCCTGCCCCGCGAACTTGACCACGTCGCCCACCCGCAGGATGGGGCAGAAGGGGGCTCTGTCGGGGTGGAAGCGGCAGGTCTTCACGTCTGCGGCCGTCAGGTCGGGGAGGAGGTTCCCTCTGGGGAGTGGAGGGGGGTTGACGTGTGGGTTTCCCTCCAGCCCCCGCCCTCTGGACGCTCACGCCCCCCACCGCCCACCCCTGCCCCTGGCCTTTCCGAGGCCTGCACCACCGCCCTCCTCTGCGAGGGTGGACGGCCTCATCCTGGGCCCCTCTGCTGTGCTCTGCATGTGGACACCCAGCAGGAGAGGGGCCACCCCAAGGGAAAAGGGACACCCTGTGCACTTGTGGACTTGAGGCAGGGAGCAGAGGACCCCGCCTTCTTTGGAGGCACCCCCGGTTCCAGGCCCAGGGTCCTCTGTCCCTGCCCCCACCCTCACTGCCCAGCAGAGCCCCCGTGTGGGGCCTCAGCCCCAGTGCACAAGGCTGGCAGGGAATCTGGTCCCAGAGTCTGCCCTGGGGAGGTCTCCCCCGGGGAGCCGGGGAAGAAGGGGTGTCCCCCTCGGGGGGCGGTGGCTGCAATGCTTCTTGGCTTCAGGAAGGAGCTAGGACTCAATCCTTTGGCCCCCTGATGCAGACAGCTGACTCATTTGAAAAGACCCCGATGCTGGGAAAGACTGACGGCAGGAGGAGAAGGGGACGACAGAGGATGAGATGGTTGGATGGCATCACCGACTCAATGGACATGAGTTTGAGTAGACTCCGGGACTTGGTGATGGACAGGGAGGCCTGGCATGCTGCAGTTCATGGGGTCGCAGAGAGTCGGACACGACTGAGCGACTGAACCGAACGGGACTGAGAACTCACTTCTCGAAGTTGAAGAGGGGGAAACGGATGCTGTTCTTGATGAAAATAGTGAAGTTCTCGGCTTCCATCATGACAGGCCTGTGGGCGAGAGCAGGAGGCCTGAGCTTGGGAGGAAGGAGGCGGAACTGGGAGGAGGGACCACCTACCTTTCTGGGAGCACCTCCTGACGGCCACGTGGGCGGGGCGTCTCGGGGTCTGGGGGAGACGCTCCCGAGGGCCCCCGGCTCTGGCCCCGCCCCGGGAGTGGACGGGGCCCGGGCGCCCAGAGGCGCGGCGCGTGCCCAGGCCCTTACGTCTCCACCGTGTCCACCTCCGCCGGGCACCAGCCCTGGATCTCGCAGGTCCGCAGGGCAGAGCTGTAGTTGACGCAGCGGCCGGTGAGGATCCCTGCGAGGGTGGAGCCGCGATCGCTGGGTGCACGCCCAGCTCTTCACCCCGTCCCCCTCTCCCCATCCGGGACGCCCCCCAACACACACAGGGACCCGGCAGGCGGAGGGAAAGGCCGGGTCAGGGAGGTGGACCGGGGCCCTGTGCTCCTCAGACTCCTCCCTCCTGGCCCCCCCAGCCCTGGACCGGCCAGACGGAGGGGACGACCCATCCCTCCCGTGTTCCAAGCCCCTTCACCGCGGAGACCCCTTCACCGCAGGCTCTTTCCTGCCTCCGAGCCTTGGCTGCCTCTGCTCCTCTTGCCTAGAATGCCCTTCTCGAAACCTCGCCTGCCAAATCCTACCCGTTCTTCAGGGCCCATCTCAAATGTCCCTGCCTCTAGGAAGCCACTCGGGGCCGCCCGCCAGGAACCAGGGGCTCCCCTGGTGGCTGAGCAGTAAAGCATCTGCCGGCAATGCAGGAGCCATAGGAGACCTGGGTTCCATTCCTGGGTGGGGAAGATCCCCTGGAGGAGGGCATGGCAGCCCTCCCAAGTATTCCTGCCTAGAGAATCCCCATGGACAGAGGAGCCTGGTGGGCTACAATCCATGGGATTGCAAAGAGCCGGACACAACTGAAGCGACTTAGCACGCGCATGCCAGGAACCAATCTCTCTCCCCCAAGCCCCGGCGTCCCACTGAGCATCCGTGACAGCCCTGGCCACCTGGGACACCTGTGTGCTCCCCATCCCTGGACTGGCAGCTCTGGGGCAGCCCCCATTGGGGTGGCATACGGCGAGCTTCTGTCAGAGTGGGCAGTGCAACCCAGGAAGCCTGATTCCCACTGTCTCCCCTGGCGGGGATGTGGGGTTGGGAGGGGATAGGGAGGGGGCCGCACTCACCTCCCCCTGGGAAGCGCTCAGGCCCACACTGGCTGTCTGACACACAGCGGAACTTCTCCTCGCTCTGCAGGGAGACAGGTGCAGGGAGGATCCATCACCCTGGGGGGCAGTGGTGGGGGGTGCTGGAGGGTGGGGGGTACCACGCAGCTCCAGGGGCTGGACCCTGGGCCTTTGCATACACCCTGAAACCCAAGCCTCCCCCAACCACGCTGCGCTGCCCTGACCTCTGGGCAGAAGCCTTGCATCTGGTTTTCCGTGACGATCATCTTGGTGATGATGACGAAGACAGAGGTGCCCTTGGGAGGCGGAGGGAGAGGGAAAATGCAACAGTGCCAGTTTGAGAGGTGGGTACAACTGTTATCCCCACTGTACAGATAAGGAAACTGAGGCTCACTCTTATCCCCATTGTACAGATGAGGAAACTGAGGCTTGCACCCACAGATCTGGCCAAGGTCATGGGGCTAACAAAAGGCAGAGGTGGGGTCCAAGCCAGACTTTTTCCAGCCATCTTCCCGGCCCTTCTTGCTCCCCCCAGGGTGTTGCCCTTGATTTCAGGACAGGTTGTAGCAGAGCCAGGGAGAAACCTGGCTCCCTGACACCCAGTGCTGCCTAGCAAAGTGGGAAGGCAGGCCCCAGGCCCCAGCACCTCCCAGCTGCTGGGGGAGGGGTCCCCCGGATCACTGATGCCACGGCATCTGGTCTGGGAATCCCACCGGCGCTCCTTGCCTTGGCCCCTCCCCGCCAAGCTACCCAGCCTCTGGATACCCACAGGGTCCCGGGCTGGGCAGAGGAATGTACCTGGGGGGGTGTCACATAGTCAGATACGTCCATGACTCGGTTGGCATAGCGTCCGAAGCCCTTGACCTTGGTCACCACCGAGGATTCGATGGCCGTATCCCGCACCTGGTATGCCTTCTCGTGCAGGAAAACCCACCTGGCGGGGGGCGTGGGGGCGGAGAGCAACAGAGGAGGGGTGAGGCCCTCAGACAGAGGCTGGGAGAGGCCCCTTCCTGTCAGCCTCCAGAGAGCAAGGGGCGCCTGGTCCGGAGGCCTGGGCCAGCCCGGGGTTGGCTTAGACTCACCTTCTCCCCCTTTCTGCGCTTACCCCCTAGGAGCCCTTTTACACTCCTTTTTTTCCCCCTAATCGAACCCCTCTTTGAAATTTTAATACCTATCAATGCCATTTGTGTACTGTTTGTTGTTTTCTGCCTTTTACATAAAGAGACTGAGATGTTTGGACTTCCCTGGTGGTCCAGTGGTTAAGCGTCTGCCTGCCAATGCCGGGAACACGGGTTCAATCCCCGGTCTGGGAAGATCCAATGGGCCCTGGGGCAACTGAGCCCGAGCAGCTAGAGCGGGGCCCCTGCTCTCCGAAACTAGAGAAAGCCCACACACAGCAGCGCACACTGAGCTCGGACAGAAAGTAATTAATTTTTTTTTTAAAGCATTTTTAAAAGAGTAAGGTTTTTTTTTTTTTTTTTTTTTTAAGTTTTCCAAGAACCAGTTTTCAGCCCTGCTGTCTTTCTCTCTCTGGCGGCATCCGGAGAGAGGACGCAGAGGGTCATGGGCCTCTGACCCCAGTGCCTCCCAGGCTTTGCGCACGGCTGTATCCTAAGAGCTGGGGTTCAGCGGACCAGCCTACGCAGGCCCTGGGTGCTGGATGAGAAGGACGCCGGAGGGAGGCGGGGCCTGGCAGGTCGGGGGTGGGGCTGGGGAGGGAGGCGGGGCCTGGCAGGTCAGGGGTGGGGCTGGGGAGGGAGGCGGGGCCTGGCAGGTCAGGGGTCGGGCTGGGGAGGGAGGCGGGGCCGCTTATTTCTTGGGCTGTGCTGCCACCCAGAGGGCATTTACCTGTACTGGTTGACATGGAGAAAGAAACTAGGGTTCTTATCCCCCAAACACTTGAGCCAATGAATAAGTTTAATAGAGAAGGGAGAAAACGCAGACACGAAGGGGAAATGGTCAAAGCAGACCGAGTAATAATTTAGCAAAGTCCAGGAGCTTCAGTTCCTGCGCAGGCGCTAGAGATAACCCTCTGAGCCCCAATCTTTGAGCTGTCTTATAGATACGGAAACCCCCCAGCAGGTGGAAGAATTTGATTAGGTGGTGAGCGGACTATAGCCGTGACATAAGCTGCCACAATTCTGAGAACTGGCCTCAAAAAAAAAAAAAAAAGTAAACAAACCAACCCCGGAACTGAAGATGAACTGTACTGGAAGCAATCGAGACGCCGTCGGTCAGACCCCCGATAACCAATTTCAAGACGACGATCAGAGCTGTTCCTGCGTGCAGCTTTGCCCCGCTTCAGCCGATAAAAGCTGAAGCTCCCTGATTGTCGGGGGTGGGGGGGTTGGTGGTGTGGGGAGTCTGCCTTTGGAGAGCATCTGGCATCTCAAAATAGAGCAAACTTTTCCTTCCACCGACCTGGCCTCTTTACCGGCTTCTGAGAGGCGAGCGGCTGAGCCCGCTGTCAGTCACGCGGCTTCCCCCCGCCCCCACCCCGCAGCGTCTGGGGCAGAGAGGGACCATGTGGGGCCGGGAGGATGCCCTGGGCTTCTTCCCTTCCTGCCTCCCTCACGGGCCCCTCCCAGCCTTCCCCAGCAACAAGAAGGGGCTGCCCCTGGCCCCTTGCTTTCCCCTGGGTTTCGGGGCCGTGCCCACCTTTTCACGGGAAGTCACCCCGTGCCCTTGGGGCTCAGGCCACGCTCACCCTCAACATCACTCGCGAAAGTTCCATCTGCTCCTGCCTGCATGCGGGGAGGCGTCTTCACTCTCCTCGCCGTGCAGACGGCAAAACCTCCTCAAATACATTTGCGAAACGCTGCGTATGTCTGCCCAGCTCTGCAGACACACCCGTGACTTCTCAGGGATTTTAGGGGCGCACTTGGGGAATATGGTGTTAGGGTCGTCTTCTGAGGCTCACGAGGGCGACAGCCGGCGGGGGGAACCCCGTGAGAGGGAGACGGGCAGGCGGAGTGGAGACTGCGGAGCAGAAAAGACGAGGCTGGCTGGCGGGGTTGGGTGAGGGCTCGGAGGTGGCTGCAGGCTGGCCCAAGTTGCTCAGAAGCAGAGGTTGGGACTTCAAGCCTGGGAGCTTTCTAGCCTCTGGGGTCCCCTGATGTTGGGAGACACAGAGGGGAGCAGCTTGTGGGTCGTGCTGGGGTCCCGGTCACTCGTGGGGTCCTATCTATGGGACTGAACTTTACAAGCGGCTCCTCGTTCAGTTTTCAGTGAAAGGGTTCGCAGTCACCCCCTAGTGGGGCTTCCCTGTGGCCCCCGAATTCTTTTTTAAAAAAGATACTTAATTATTTGGCTGCCTAGGGTCTCAGTTGGGTTTCCCTGGTGGCTCAGGGGGTAAAGAATCTGCCTGCAATGCAGGAGACACAGGTTCCCGATCCCTGGATCGGGAAGATTCCTTGGAGGAGGGCGTGGCAATCCACTCCAGTGTTCTTGCCTGGAGACTCCCATGGACAGAGGAGCCTGGCGGGCTACAGTCCACGGGGTCGCCAAAAGTCGGACACGTCTGAGCACGCAGGGTCTCAGTTGCAGCACCCGGGGTTCTAGTCGTGGTTTCCCCCTTAGCCGCCTCAAGACACCTGGGATCTTAGTTCCCCGACGAGGGATCGAACCAGTGAACCAGGGTCCTTCATTTGAAGGCAGGTTCTTAACCACTGGACCGCTAGGGAAGTCGCCGGTGCCTGAGTTCTGAACGCTGCCTTGAGAGGTTGGGAAATGGTGGTCACCCCCAGCGCCAGCCGAGGGCGCCTCACCTGCGCTGCTGTTTCTGCCTTGTTCCAGGCAGCGCCCTGAGTAATGAGCCATTAAGAGTTCTCTGCGTGCTTGCGAGCTGTTCCTCAGAACACCACGCCTCTGTGGAAGTCTGCAGGGGGTGAGCTTTACTTCCCTTGCCCTGCCTCCTGTGTTGTGAATACTGGGAGGGGTTTCATCTTGGTCTTGGGAGGGAAGGGGGCTCATGGATAGGTGTCAGCTGCCTGTCTCGCGTCCCAGCAGAAGGGAAGGGAGCGATTATGGAAAATGCGGACGTCGTCCAGAAGAGCTTTACCAGCTAGGTTGCGGCCCTCGGAGCCACGGCGGGGGGCGGTGGTCTGACCGAGCGCCTCTGCGGCTGTGCTGCCCTCGCCCGGGTGGGGGCCATGGTGGCCACACGGCCCCTGGGCCCTCCGCGTGCCTGGCCGTGCAACGGACACGCCTTTGTGTGTCTAGCAGTGAAACGACCGGCCTTTCCTGTCCTTAAATTCTGGGAACCTTCAGGTGAGAAGCGGCATTCAGATGGTCACCATCGCTGTAGGATCCGCCCAGCACGCTGAGAATGCAAGAATCCTTTCTCACGACCCAAGGGGACCGCTGTGCTATTATCCTCGTGTTGCACATGAAGGAACCCAGGCCCGGAGCAGGGCACCGACTCGCCGAGCTGGCATGCACATTCTGACCCTGGATAACCCCCTCAGGGCCCCCAGTGGGGTCCCGGTCCCCGGCCCCTGGTGCCTATCCTGCTGGCCTCGCCCATCAGCCGGGAGAGCAGCCCCCGGCTCAGGGACGTCTCAGGAGGATGAGCCCAGGGCCCTGGGGACGATTAAGCGGCCTCTCTCCTTCTCCTCCTTCCTCACGGCTCTCTGCTGTGCCCGGGCAGGATTCCCCTCCGAGTTGAATAACAAGCGGAAGCATTCCAGTGCCCCCTTGGGGCATGCGGGCAGCTGGAGAAAAGGAGGGTGTTCATTTCCAGAACAGAGGGGACGCATCTGTCTCCAGGGGCCGGGGCTGAGGAGACGGGGCGGCACTGAGCCTCCAGTTCTTGGCACCGACTCTGCTGCTCTGACTTCTTTCTCGTGTTCCTGGTTCATTATTTATAGAGCGGGAGGCGGGCGGCAGCTCCCTGGCAGGTGGGATGTGCAGGAAGGAAGTCAGGGCAGTACCCCATCCTGTCCACCACCCAGGAGTCAGGGAGGAGATCGGGAGGGTATGAGGGTGTGTGTGTGTGTGTGTGTGTGTGTGCGTGCGCGCACGCGTGCACACAGGAATCAAAGTGGTCTCTTAGGAAGGTGTAAGCTGGGCGAGGGAAAGGGGGACATGCCGGGAGCCTGGGAAATGTCAACAGTCACCAGCTTCCCGAGTCACCCAGCCCAGGCAGAGGCTGGCGTGTGTCACCTCCTCCCACCAGAACCCTCGGAGGTGGCAATGAGGTGGCATCGTCCGGATAGGGGGACTGAGACGTGGAGATGGAAAGTGATCTGTCTGAGCCCCACTCTTGTTGGGGCTGGAGCCAGGCTTCTAACCAGGTTTCCCCATCACGGGGCTGGGGTGCTGGGCGTGGGGCGGGCAGAAAGAGAGCCATGATATTCCATGCCCCTCTTTGTAAACTGGATCAATCCCCCCCTTTTAGTGGCTTTACATGTTGGATGTCTTTGGAATCTTTGACCTGAGGCTGAACGTTGTGAACCAAAGCGGGTGGCCATGCAGATGGGGGTCTTAGAGTGGGAGAGCCAGGGCAGGGCTGTGATGGGCTGGGGGCGCCTGCAACCCCAACAGGCCCTTCCCAGGGTGGAAGGGGCACTCCAGAGGTGGGAGGCCCTCACTGCTGTGGGCTTCCTGCAGGAATGCCCTGGGAATCAACCCCAGGCTGGGCACTGGCTGGCATGTTTGGGCACTCAAGCCTCAGGGATCATCTCCTTCTTCCTCCTTAGATGCTCACGGGATCCAGACAAGGGGTGGGCTCTTAGGAAGTCCCCCCACTGCTCCACCACCGCAGAGGAGACTGCGGTGGGCCCAGAAAAGGTGAGAGAAACACCCAGGAAGTCCTCACAGAGATACCTCTGTGCACCTGTGGCGGGTTAGGAAGCCAGGGCTGAAGGGGCCTGAGCCGCAGGCAAGCAGCTGAGGCTCAGGCCAGTGTGTGCATGTGTGCATGTGTGTGTGTGCGCGCGTGTGTGCGTGTGTGTGTGTGTGTGTGTGTGTGTGTGTGTGTGTGGAGTCGATCAGGTGGTATGTTGCTGTGCGTACATAAGAGAAGTGGTTGGCTCCTGTCACTCACTCCCTAGGTAAAGCTGTGCATCTGGTCTACCTGGCAGGGCTAATGTGGAAGCGATTCAAGTCAAGCATTAACCTCAAAGCTCTAAAAATCCTTTCAAATCCTCCTGCGTTGAAGCCACAGCCACCTCTCTTTGCATGACTGCCTGGCCTCTTCACGGGCTCTCCTGCATCCACTTCTGCCCACGCCAATCCCTGGGGTGTCAGCCAGGGCTTCCCACCTCTCCTCCTACACACACACACACACACACATACACAGAGGTTAAAATGCATCAGGAGCTTCCATCACTGTACATCACTCCTCTGCAGCATGAAGGATCGGAGGTCCAGCCTCTGCCTGTGGCTGCAGCCCTGTCCTCCACCATCCTCTCCTTGGCTCCCTCTGCTCCAGCCACCAAGACCCCTTCTCACTCCGCAGCCAGCAGGCCCTTCCACATTGCAGAGACGGTCTTCTCTGCCTTGAACCCCCTTCCTAACTTTCCCGCACCTGGTGGCTCTGACTCATCCTTCAGCTCTTGGCTGCAAAGTCTTGTGTCCAGAAAGCCTTCCCTTACTTCCCTGGCCAGGTCAAAGGCAAACCCTTCTGTACCCGCGGCCCACGGGGCACTGGGCCCCCCTTCTTCAACCCCGAGCCACGGCTGCCATTTTATATCTGCTCGTGGAGACGGTCTGATTAGTATCCATCTCTGGCCGTGTCAGCTCCATTGGGGTGAGGACCCGTACCACTTGGGCCCATTGTTCCTGCCTCCGTGTCAGGAGGACACGCTCAATACAGTCCTGCTACCTTCGTGACCACGGACGCGTGTCCCGGCTCACAGGCACAGAGATGCGGCTGAGGCCAGGGGCTGGGCTGAAGAGCGCTGCTCCGTGGGGAGCTGTCAGGCTGGGAGACGGATGGGGCTGGATGTCAAGATGCCAAAGAGCCTCTCCCACCCGCCCAGCAGGCTGGCCTGCAGCACTGAGGATGGGGCACCGGACTGGATCAGGGAGAGACAAGGGCGGTGGGGGGTGGGGGCGATGGAGCCCGCTGGGTCTCGCCTCCATCAATCTCCAGTCTGGAGCCCATGGAACCAGGCCAGGCTGGAAAGTGCTGAAGTAGCTCTGTGCTCACCTGGACCAACAGACCATTCTGCAGCGACGAACAACCACAGCTATGCACACGCAGGCAAACGTGGAGCCTTAAGGACCAACTTTGTGCCAGGCGCTGGAGACGCTGACAGAGAGCATGTGCAAACATCCTAGCTCGTGAAACCTCAGCGTTGGAACAGAAGTCACTTAAAGCCACTTAATCCTATCCCAAAGCTTGAATCTCCCCTCTAATGTCTCCACGAGGAGACTGCATGTGCAGCCTCATCTACACACCGCATGAATGAAGCACGCTGGTTTTCAGCACACGCGTGGAGCTGCTAAAAATTTCCTTCATCCACGTCCACCCATTTTCCCATGCACTACTCCAGCCTGGTGGGCCAGCAGGTCCACTCCTGTGGGCCCAGCCCACACACACACGGGTCTCCTTTGACCTCCCGGCGTGAACTCCTGACGGTCATCGGTGTCTCTCACACGCAGACCCGTTGTCTCAAGGAACAGTATGAGGCGAGTGACCCAAATGCCAGGAGAAAAGAAACAGACCTCCGAGGTTTCTGTCCCGCTTTCCTGATTTGAATGACCGCGAGAAGGACAGAACCTGTGTCTCCCCCCAGCCATTGTTTCACGAACCTTTGTGTATACATGTGTGTACGTGTGTGCACCTGCAAGAGGTGGGGGCCCAGAGGGGGTGTTTGGACCTCCCTGGCGCTTAAGCAGCTCCCAGGATGGGTTCTAGGGCATGAAGGCAGGCAGACGCAGGGCACTGATGGTTTCTGACAAAGGGGAGTATTTCTGGCCCCTGAGGGGGAGGTCCCCTATGTCATGCTCAGAAAAGCCTCCTTTCTCTGCAGTAAATCTTCCCTGGAGGGGTATTTGCGCCCGTCTCTGCCCACCACCTGTACCCCCACAGGGGCAGGGCCCCCCACCCCAGCTCCCCGCCTCGCCCCACGCTCAGAGAGTGAGGGGTCCCCTTCCACATTCTCGCAGCATCTCGCCCAGCCCGTCCCTTCTCCGCGCCCTCTCCGCCATCCACCTGGTCAACCTGCCACCGACTCCCTCGTCTCATCGCCTTCCCCTCCCTTCCCCGGCTCCCCCATCTTTCCGAGACCCTGAAGAGTTGGCTGAAGACAACGGGAAGGTGTGTGTGTGTTGGGGGGTGGTCTGGTCTCTGGCTGGGGCTAGGGGAGACGACAGAGTGAAGGGGAGGCAGTGGAGGGGCCACAGCTCCCCTCCTCGGGGTGCATGGCTGCGGTCCAACTCTGGAAGGTTTAGTGGAAGAAAGAACTCTCCGATGGTGGCAGGGGAGGCCAGTGCCTCGGATGGGGCCCCACAGATGAGGATGTTGCCCCCCCCACCAAAGGGGAGACGCTTAGGCAGCTGGGTAGCAACACTGAGGGGAGGCGGGGGAGGATGGGATCCAGGGGCGGCCCTCGGGGTCGCTAGGGCCTCAGGTTTCTAGGTCCTGGGGGCCAGAGACTCACCCCACGAAGTAGGAGATGATGAGAAGCTGAACCGCTCGGTTGATGATCCCAATGGTCCAGCTCTTCACGACCACCGACTTGGTGGTCTCGTAGGTGAAGAAATCTGAGATGCAGTTCATGCTGAGAGAATGACCCCTCACGAGAGATCCAATGGTGGACTCAGGAGGGAGGGGTCATCCGGATGGAGGCTGGCGGGGGGCGGGGGGGTGGGCGGCTTAGAGGGGGCTTGAGGAATGTGGAGTCTGTTCCTTTAAGTCAGGCAACCCTAGCCCTGGGGCTCAGCCTCTCTCTGCTTTCCACCCTCAGGTCTGCCAAGAGTCCAAGGCCAGGGTGGGTGACCCCCTTTTTGTTGGTTTCCACCCCACTCCCCTGTGATGTCATGGCAGGGGTGGGGTCTCCAATCCCAGGCTCCTGATTGCCTGGGATGCAGCTGGCTGGGGCCCTCTGGGACTTATGCTTTATCTGCACTCTGTCTACCGCTTAGGTTCTGTTCTCTTGTGCTGCGTCTCCATCCCAGCTTACCAGCTGCTCCACGCTCTCCTGAAAGCCCCTTGTAATACCCCACCCCACCCCACCCACCCAGCAGCCTGCTTGAGCTGAGTTCTTCCTGTCTTCCTACAGCGCTCAATTCTACAGACACCCCCCTCTTTTCAAGAGCTGCCAGCAACAGCATGGGTTGGGGGAGGGGGGTCCCCTGAACCTTTCTCATGGCCTCACGGGAGAGGGTGACTAAAGAGTCACTTAGTTTCTATTGCCTATCCATCCTGGCAGTGGCTGAGATTCTACTTGCAGCATTGCATTATAACGCTGGGTGTTTTTTTGTGGGGGTTGTTTTACTGTCAGAGTATTGATCTGAATCATCTGTTTGATTACATGCTCCTGGAAGGCTGGAACTGTTTCCATCTTGTTTGCTAGTTTCCTCAAATCCTACCACCGTGTCGGAGCTCAATGCGTATTTACTGAATCTAGTTGAATTTATGTTGCTAGAGAGTGTGGGAACAGCCATCGTCCAGAGGGTAACACCATGAGTTCAGGGAGCAATGGTGCGTTCACGTTGTGTCTTGTCCCAGGATCGAAGCTACCGGTGTAACCGCAGGTCAGACTGTCAGAGAAATGTTGAGTTTCAACATTCTGCCCTAATGTCTCCATGCTCGACACGTATTGTCAGTCATTCTGAATGTAGAGTCACGGTGAGCATGACAGGAGAGCTAGTCCGTGGTAGGTAGATCTGTCTTCAGCTCTGTCACCAACTGAGACCCCCGGGGCTACTGCCGTAAGAGCCTCAGTTTTCCCCATCTGCAAAAAGAGGTTGGAGCGGACAAACCCAGACATCTCTCCCAAGTCTGGCCGCCTCTGATTTTGCAAGATGCACCCTAGGACTCTAGAAGGTGGGGTTGTGGGGGTGGCTGGCTTCCGCAGTCCCAGGGTGATAGGCTTTCAAAGCAGTTGTGGCTCCGTGATGAACCTGACACCAGCGCTTGAACTTGGCAAGGCTGCGGGCCAGCCCCTTCCAGGCAACTCACAACTTGCAGGGGCTGCTGGAAGTTTCGGGGTGTGTGTGTGTGTGTGTGTGTGTGTGTGTGTGTGTGTGTGCAGCGAGCTCATTTGCAAAAGGACCCAGTCCTCTCTGGACAGGGGAGGGCGGTGCAGTCACAGCGACATCAACGCCTGCATTCTTCTGGAAGCTAGTGGGAGGGGTTACTTCTCTGCACAACTCTTCCAATCTTTTCCTTCTTGGGTCAGACTCCTTTCTGCTTCACAGAAACCACTATTGTACAGGAGACACACGCGCATCATTCCAAGGGCCACGCGCTTCCGGGCCCAGTCTGTGACAAACACTGCGCAAGTTATCTTTAAAAAATCCCAGGCGTCTTTGGCGTTTAAGGGGCCCCCGATCTCCGGGCCCGGGGGTCGGGGGCCGCGCGGGCTGGCGGGGCCGGGGTCGGCGGCCGCTCCGGCGGGCGGGGCCCGCAGGTCCTCCGGCGCCGCTGGCGTTCTAGCCGGGCCCCTCGCGGGCGGCGCCCCTCTAGCCGGCCGCCGTCTCTATAGCCGGCGCTTCCGGTGGCGGGACGCGGGGCCGCGCACGCGGGAAGAGCCTGCCCAGCGCCCCTGCCCGGCCCCGGCCCGCGCCGTCCCCACGCCCCGGCGCGCCCACCGCTTAGGCGCCGGTGGCCGCGAGGCTCCGGCCCGAGGAGGTGGGTGGTCGCCGGCCGCGTGCAGGGCGCGGGCCCGGCTCCCCCGCGGGGTGCGCGCGGTGGACCGGCCCGCGTTGGAGGCGACCGGCCGCGGGCGAGTCCATTCTGGGGGGCGGGGGGAGCTGCGGGTCTGGGGGCGCTGGGGCGGTCTGGGGGGGCGCCCCGCGCGTTGAGCCGGCCGGGCCTGGGGGGCTGCGCTGCTCGGTGCCGCGGCGCCCGGTGCAGCGCCCAGGGCGGATGTCGGGTGTGGGGGGGTGTCAGCAGTTCTTGGGACAGGCCGGGCCCCCAGGACTGGGCCCGGCCCCCAAGGACTGGGCCCAGGCCCCGGAGCCCGGCTGGTGGGCTCCTGGGTGGAGGAGATCGGACGCACGCCCGAGGTAGCGGGCCCATCCGGGGGCATCATCAGCGGCCGTCCTTCCTACCCACCTCTCTCCCTCTCGAATCCAGATCCCCAGCGCGCCGTGCGTCTGCGCGCCCACCCAGGAGTTTCCGGGGTACCCTCAGGGCTAGGTCAGCATGGCAGAAACCCTGGAGTTCAACGACGTGTATCAGGAGGTGAAGGGCTCCATGGTGAGGAGGGCCCCGCGGAGGGATGGGAGCAGGACCTGCAGGGCCACTGGCCGTGCACATGCTCTGAATGGGTATGCTGGTTTGGAAAAGGGCTCAGAGTACCCGTGTGTGCTTAGGGTTCCCCCCAGCTGAGAAGCGGTGCCCGGGGAAAGGACCAGAATCAAGTCCTCTTGAAGGGCCCCTCAGCTGCAGCCCAGTCCTGGAGCCTGGAACACTCCCTGCAAGGGTTGTGGATGACTGAGCCAGGATTAGAGCCCAGGGGTCCTGGCGGGGCTTGTCTCTCTTTACTGGCCCTCAGGGCTCCCCACGGCTGCTGCTGCTCCGGTCTGTGGATATCAGGCGGGCCCAGAAGGGGCGCCGGGAGGGACTGACCCTTGTCTGCTGCGCTGCGGCGTCCCCACGCATGTGGGCCTGTTTCCCCGACAGAATGATGGTCGGCTGAGGCTGAGCCGCCAGGGCATCATCTTTAAGAACAGTAAGACGGGCAAAGTGGACAACATCCAGGCCGGTGAGCTGACGGAAGGCATCTGGCGCCGGGTGGCTCTGGGCCACGGGCTTAAACTGCTTACGAAGAACGGCCATGTCTACAAGTACGATGGCTTCCGGGAATCGGTGAGACACCCTATTGTCCTGACTGTGTATCTCCTTCAGTTTTAATCTTCTGGAGAGACAGGTCGGGGCCCTTCTTCTGATAACTGTGCCATCGCTGGTTTGGGCTCCTAACAGCAGTCAATGTTCACTTTTGGGTCATCTCAGGAGATTCTTTGTTCCCTAACTCCAGAAGTTTTTCTACTGTTTTGATTTTTTTTTTTTTTTTTCTTGGTGGTTTCTGCCTGTTGCCTTTATCCAGGTTCTGGGTCTTACCTGATGCTTTAGTTTGGGTTTTGTTTTTCCACTGTGGTCTGTGTGCATTAAAGATTTCACTTCATCTTCCTTTCCACTTTTGCTAAAGCAATACTTGTTCAAACTCAGAAAAACATTGCAAGACCCATAACTGAGAATGTCAGCCCCTTACTTTATTCCTCCCCCAGCCTGAGAAATAACCCAGAAATAACCTCTCTCAACAGTCTTTTAAACAGTTTTATAGCTGTGACTCTTAAGTCAGCATGGATTTCTGATAAAAGGTATACTGGGACAGTTTCTCAGAAACAGATAATCCCAGAACATCCAAGTTTGTGTTCAGGCCATCAGGAGTTTACTGGGCTGGTTCTCTTTCCTCTCCCTACAGGAGTTTGAGAAACTCTCTGATTTCTTCAAAACTCACTATCGCCTGGAGCTAATGGAGAAGGATCTGTGTGTGAAGGGTTGGAACTGGGGAACCGTGAAGTTTGGTGGTGAGTCCTCCTGGGAGATTGGAGGTTTCAGGGGAGGAGGAAAGATGAAAGATTTCCCCCTTTAACTTTTCTTGCTCTCTTTCTGCCACTGTGTCTGATTTCCTGTCTGTCTGTCAATAATCATGTGTTTATCGGGGACCGACGCTGTGTTAGGCAGCCTGCCTGGTCCCGGGGGTCTGGGATGAACAGACAGCCCCCGGGCCCTCTCCGTAGGGAACCTGTAGTCTGGTGTGAGTGCAGTTCATGCTGAGCCAGGGGAAGAGCCTGTGGATGGGTCGTCCGCCTTTTCCCCACAGGGCAGCTGCTTTCCTTCGACATTGGCGACCAGCCGGTCTTCGAGATCCCTCTCAGCAACGTGTCCCAGTGTACCACGGGTAAGAACGAGGTGACACTGGAGTTCCACCAGAACGACGATGCAGAGGTCTCCCTCATGGAGGTGCGCTTCTATGTGCCGCCCACCCAGGAGGACGGCGTGGACCCCGTGGAGGTGAGGCCTCCCGCGCTGCTGAGCGGCCCTGGATAGCCCGCGGCCGGCTCCCTGCGGCTCGATGACCCCCGCGTGCCTCAGCAGGCCTTCGCCCAGAACGTGCTGTCAAAGGCGGACGTGATCCAGGCCACTGGAGACGCCATCTGCATCTTCCGGGAGCTGCAGTGTCTGACGCCCCGAGGCCGCTACGACATCCGCATCTACCCCACCTTCCTGCATCTGCATGGCAAGACCTTTGACTACAAGATCCCTTACACCACGGTGCTGCGGCTCTTCCTGCTGCCCCACAAGGACCAGCGCCAGATGTTCTTTGTGGTGAGCCGTAACCTTGGGCCCGTGACCCTGGGGCCCGCCCGGGTCTTCGGGAGGCGGGTGTCACCCGTGTCCCGTCTAGCTCGTTGGCTGGTCCTTGTGGAGCGCTGGCTGGCGCTGAACCCGGTGGCCCTTCCGCTGCAGATCAGCCTGGACCCCCCCATCAAGCAGGGCCAGACCCGCTACCACTTCCTCATCCTCCTCTTCTCGAAGGACGAGGACATCTCCCTGGCACTCAACATGAACGAGTGAGTGAGGCTGTCCCCGGCCTGGGTGGTGGCGGCGGGTGGCCGGAAGGCCACAGTGCCGCCGCCTGCAGCTTGCTGTTTGCAGGGAGGAGGTGGAGAAGCGCTTCGAGGGGCGGCTCACCAAGAATATGTCAGGATCCCTCTACGAGATGGTCAGCCGGGTCATGAAAGCGCTGGTGAACCGCAAGATTACGGTCCCTGGCAACTTCCAAGGGTGAGCGCGCCTGCCTGGGCTGCTGCCTGCCGGGGAGGCTTATGCATTGGGGGGCCTGGGCTGTTGCCTGCCGGGGGTTGGGGATGCACTCTCTGGGAATGCAGCCTCACGGGGGCCTGGGCGGGCTGTTGCTCGAGGGGGCAGCCTCCTGAGGCTTATTCATTGGGGGGCCTGGGGCACGCCGTGTGCCTGCTGCCCCAGCGGCACTGAGCGCGCCCCCTCCCCCAGGCACTCGGGGGCCCAGTGCATCACCTGCTCCTACAAGGCCAGCTCAGGGCTGCTGTACCCCCTGGAGCGGGGCTTCATCTACGTCCACAAGCCGCCCGTGCACATCCGCTTCGACGAGATCTCCTTTGTCAACTTCGCCCGTGGGACCACCACCACGCGTTCCTTTGACTTTGAAATTGAGACCAAGCAGGGCACCCAGTATACTTTCAGCAGCATTGAGAGGTGAGCGCCTCTGCCCGGCCCTCCCGGGCACCCTGGGCCCCACCCAGCCTCCTCCACCCGGCGGCCCGGCCTCTCCAGGCCAGCGAGCCTTCTCTGACGCAGAGTTTTTCTTCCGCGGCCTGGCATTTGGCGCTCCCCCTTGGGGTGCTCAGCCCGTGTCAGCTAGTCCATTGCTTGCTTTCTGTGCTTAAAAGCACCCAAGTGCCCCATGTGTTTGGTACTGGTCCTCCTCCTCTCCCCCACGATGGAAATGCTGTCTCCCTCTTCCGGGAATGAGCTCCGTGCCCGAGAACACAGCAGCTGTTTATCAAATGCTGGTTGGGGGCTACACGTTTCACAGACACGTTCACCCTCAGCCTTCATAACAGCCTGAGAAGGATGGGTTACAGACCAGCAAAACGCCGGGCATGTCCCCCGCCGCCTCGCGCCCTGCTCGTGCGTGTTGGTGGACAGGCACACACCCCTTCCTGCCTATTCGTCCCCCGAAATCTTAAGATCCTGTAAGTTTCCTTTGAGACCCACGTCCAGCTCCTCTGCTTGCCGTCCGCTGGGGGTCTCTGAGATCCCGGGCGCGATCGTGCTGTCGAGGGTTCGGGCCCCTCGGTCCCAGCCGCCCCGCGGAGTGTCGGGACAGCCCGCGGCCCAGCCCAGTCAGCCCTGCCCAGCGGGTGACGGACACCTCTCCTCACAGGGAGGAGTACGGCAAGCTCTTCGACTTTGTCAACGCCAAGAAGCTCAACATCAAGAACCGAGGGCTGAAAGAGGTACCTGGGCGTCCGCGGGAGGAGCGCGCTGTTCTCGCTGTCGGGGAAGGGGCCGGGGTTGGCGCGGCTTCTTTTTCACTCTCTCTTCTCTTCTCGCCCTTGTAGAAAAAAGAGGTGCGTGAGACCCCCCCCCTCCGGGTACAGGCTTCCTGGCATGAACTTAGCGCAGGCTCCGCAGCCCCCAGGGGCTCCCCGGGGGCCGGGCGCGGGAGGGGCTTGGACTAACCGGGTCGGCAGGGAGTCGGGCAAACGCCCCGCGCTGAGCTGTGTGTGGACACGCGGCCCCGGGGCTCCGGGGGCGGCCGCTCCGAGCTGCTCACAGGCATGGGGATGGCTTCCGCGGGCGCAGGACGGGGGGGCTGGCCCTGAGCCCCGCGCCCGCCCTGCAGGGCATGAACCCCAGCTACGACGAGTATGCCGACTCGGACGAGGACCAGCACGACGCCTACCTGGAGCGGATGAAGGAGGAGGGCAAGATCCGCGAGGAGCACGCCAACGACAGCAGCGACGACTCCGGCGAGGAGACCGGTGGGCGGGCGGGCGGCCCGGCGGGGCGGGGCGGGGCGGGGCGGGGCTCCCCCGGGGGCAGTGCTGGGCGGGGTGTGGTCCCCGGGGGCGGAGCTCACGCGGCCTGTGCTCTTTTTCAGATGAGTCTTTCAACCCGGGTGAAGAGGAGGAGGACGTGGCAGAGGAGTGAGTCGGGGGTCCACCTGGCGGGGTGAGGGAGTGGCCCGTAAGCTTCAGGGACCAGAATATTTCTGGGCTTCCCAAGTCCCGGAGTTACCTGCTGACCGAGGGTAGAAAAGTGACCTCCGGTGAAGCGATACAGGGACACGTTTCGAAAGCTGTCAAGATGCTTTGTAAGTGCAAAGTGCGTCCTGAACCCACAAAAGGAGAGTGGAGAGAGTGGGGTTAGGGGCCGGAGCTTGCCCACTTCCCATTTGGGGGTCCTTGGGTCAGGCAGTGCATCTCTGTGTCCTCCCCTGTGAGATGGTAGTGTCCATCACGACTTTTTTTAAAAAAAATCATTTATTTTTATTTTTGGCCGCGCTGGGCGTTCCTTGCTGGGTGCAGGCTTTCTCTGGTTGCGTCGAGCAGGGGCTGCTCTGCGGCTTTGTCTGCGGGCTTCTCGCTGCAGTGGCCTCTTGTTTTGGGGTAGGGGCTCCAGAGCGCGAAGGGCTTCAGGAATTGTGACTCTTGGGACTTGTGACTTAGCTGATCCTAGACCAGGGATCAAACCTGTGTCCCACCAGGAAGTTCTCTATCGAGACTCTTGATTGCCACTGTCAGGAGTCTGACTCAAACTGACTTTCGCGTAAGAGTGAGTTTTACCAGGTCATGTAACCGGAGAGTTTGGTGATAGAATTGGGCTGAGGCACCTGAATCCAAAGGCTTCCCTGGTGGTTAGACGGTAAAGAATCCGTCTGCAATGCGGGAGATGTGGGTTCCATCCCTGGGTGGGGACGATTTCCTGGAGAAGTGGATGGCAACCCACTCCAGCTATTCTTGCCTGGAAAAATCCCATGGACAGAGGAGACACAACTTAGTGACTAAACTACCACCACCATGACCTGAATCCAGGTGCTCAAAAGTTGTGAATCTTAATTTTCACTTCTGATTTCCTTATTTTTAGATAGGTTCGCCGCACATGTTGTTAAATGACCCTGAGCAGCATGGGGCAGCCTCAATCCTACGGCACTCGGAAGTGCCGCCTTTTCCAGAGCAGCGGTGAATAGTGTGGTTGCCTCCCCTTTCCTGGGTCTGAGTTCTGAGATGTGCTCTGATGGGCCAGAACTAAGCCACGGGACCCCCCCCACCCCCACCCCAGAGCCTGTGGTTGGTGTGAGCTCCCCCTGAATGGGGCTGGGTGGTTCCCAACAGGAAATTGGAGCGCTCTTATTCCAAAAGAATTGTGAACAAAGGTTGGGCAGAAAAAAGAAAAAAAAAATCTTCTGGAGTCCACTAGTTCTGCTTGCCACATACTCGTGAAGGTTCGTGAGCAAATGCTTGTGAAAATGCCTTGGAAACGGCTCTGCACCATGATTCAGGTGTAACGGGGCTCCGTCTTCTGAGGAGTTCCACATGTGATGGAGAGGATCGCTTACGGGTATTGGGTTGGACTGAAGGTGGTCCCCCCACTTCTTATATGGTAGCTGATTATCTCTTCGTCAGAGAAGACTGCAGGGTTAAAACAGTTAGCTCAGAGGAACCGGTGAAGTGGACCTGGGGCGTGTTCTGGGCAAGATGAGATGGTGGCTTTGACTCCAGGGGCATGGGGTCTGGGTTAGGTCTTGACCCAAGAAAGCCACTGAGGCCCACTGCGTCATTCGCTTCTCACTGATGGATTCGACGAGGAAGCCGCTGCCACGGCCAGGTGGCGACCGGGTGGTCGAAGGCATGTCAACGAGAGGAGGACGCGCGCCGCAGCCCTGCTCCATCTCTGCTGTTTGGGCGGGGGTCTTCGGGCTCGCTGTCCTGTCCTGAGCTGGTGGGGGGTTGTCCTCCACAGGTTTGACAGCAACGCCTCCGCCAGCTCCTCCAGTAACGATGGTGACAGCGACCGGGAAGAGAAGAAACGGAAGCAGCTTAAAAAGGCGAAGATGGCCAAGGACCGCAAGAGCCGCAAGAAGCCCCTCGAGGTGCAGACTCCACCGGGCAGTGGGGGGAGGCTGTCCTCTTTCCATCCTCCTGCAGTCCCCCCGTAGGGCCTGTGGACTGGTGCTGCTGGGCCGAGTTTTGTAACCACCGGTGCTGGCCTTGAGGAGGAGCCTGGAGAATTTTCAGTCTGGCCCTTGAGACAGTTAGCTTCTGGGAGATGCAAATTGGGAGCAGGCTTCTGTGCCCAGAGCCCAAGGCGGGGGTTCTTCATGAGCTCAGGCTGGGGTGCAGGGCGGCGGAGGACATGGTCTCCATCCCTGGGGGGCTCTCCGTCTAGCCTGTCGCTGCCCAGTCTTTTCTCCATTGTGTCCCTCTAAGAACGAGGTCCAGGTCATCTCTTGGGGAGAACGTGGAGCTTTGTGGGCAGTAGGTGGCCGACGGCCTCTGGGTTCCTACGCAGGTAAAGAAGGGCAAGGACCCCAATGCCCCCAAGAGGCCCATGTCTGCCTACATGCTGTGGCTGAATGCTAGCCGGGAGAAGATCAAGTCGGACCATCCGGGTATCAGCGTCACCGACCTCTCCAAGAAGGCGGGCGAGATCTGGAAGGGAATGTCCAAGGAGAAGAAGGAGGCAAGGGGCCGCGCACACGTGGTGTCGGGAGCCTGGGACTGGACAGAGGCGGGCGGGACCAGGGCAACGGTTCTGTGTTGGTTTTGCCTGCACTGGGGCAGGGGGGCTCTCAGTTTTTTTTTCCTGTTTTTTTTCATTCCCTGTGTGTGTGTGTGTGTGACAGGAGTGGGATCGCAAGGCTGAGGATGCCAGGAGGGAATATGAAAAAGCCATGAAGGAATACGAAGGCGGCCGTGGAGAGTCCTCCAAGAGGTGAGAGTTGGGAACAAAATGACCCAGGAGCTGCTTTTCTGGCAGATATTTTTGCAGTTCCAGGTTGAGAATTGGGGTGTTAACACACTTCTGCCTACAGTAGGGCAGTGCTGCTCAGATCGGAGTAGGCAGTTGCCCAGGTGTGGGGAATGGGCTGGAGGATTTCTGAAGGTAATTTGGATAAATACGGCTCATTTTCCTAAGAGCCATATTTTCCTTCAATTTTATTTCAAGGTGTGGGGGAGATTAAAAATAATTATTATGGAGCGTAATTCACGTGAAGTTTTAAAGATAAAGTAAGAGACGTTAGGAAGATCCCTTAGAGAAGGAAATGACAACGCACTCCAGTATTCTTGCCTGGGAAGTGCCATGGACAGAGGAGCCTGGTGGGCTGCAGTCAGCAGGCTCTTGAGAGTGGGACGCGACTTAGTGACTCAACAGACGTTAAGCACGTTTTGCATATGGGGCTGCTTCAGGCTGTAGCCCTTGATCCTTCCGGTGATTCAGTTATGATGAGCTCCCCTGGGACGCTCGGGGCTGACACACCTGTCTGTGTATGTTTAGCGTGAGCTGGGGAGTGTGGCTGGGGTTGGGAAAGGCCCCGTGAAAACCAGGAGAGGTTCGGCCCTGATGATGTGGGTAACCTGAGGGCCTAGTACCCTCTTCCTTCTTGCTCACCTAGGGACAAGTCCAAGAAGAAGAAAAAAGTCAAGGTGAAGATGGAGAAGAAATCCACACCCTCGCGGGGCTCATCATCGAAGTCTTCATCAAGGCAGCTGAGCGAGAGCTTCAAGAGCAAAGAGTTTGTGTCCAGTGATGAGAGCTCTTCCGGAGAAAACAAGAGCAAAAAGAAGAGAAGGCGGAGTGAGGTGCGGTGGGGCTTGGGGGGCCGTGGGGCCTGGAAGGGTGGGGGCCGCTGGGCTGGTGGTGGGACAGACAGACACTCCTGGACAGAGGGGTAATGAAGGGGAGCGGGTGGGTGGAATCTGTACTTCTGAAGGCTAACACTGGGGTGCAGGGAGCGGGTAGCCAAGTGGGGGGTCCTTCCCTGAAAAGTTGCTAGGGGCGAGGGTGGCCTGGACTCTGCACCTCTCCCCTGTAAGAGGTCTTTGGCTTTCAGGACTCTGAAGAAGAAGAGCTAGCCAGTACTCCCCCCAGCTCAGAAGACTCGGCGTCAGGATCTGATGAATAGAGAGGAAGATGGTGTCTCCTGGAGCTTGCCCCGTCCCAGCCCGAGTCTCCCCACCCGTGTTCTGGTATCCGTTTTCTCCTATGAAATGCAGTCCTTGGATTCTGCGCCATCTGAACAAGCTTTCCTGCTAGCCTGCACTTCCCTGGGGCCGCAGGGGAGGTGTCTCGCCCTGCGGCTTCAGAAGACGGCTGTTTATAATCCGGGGAGACGTTGGGTGGCGGCCAGGGCAGGGCCGGACCCCACCGCGCCCCCTGCCTTCCCGGCCTTTGGGGTACAGCTGCTGCTTGCCCTGTACAAGTTGCTGCAGGCAGGGGTCCTGTGAGGGCAGGTCTGTAGCTCCTAATTGGGGCCTATTTCTACTTGTATTTTGTATTTCTGGTCTGTGAAAAATGAACATTTAATAAAGGGAACTGACTTTGGAAATCGCGTCCTTAGGCCTTCTCTCTCACCCAGCTGTATGGCTCTCAGTCTTCTTGGTGTTTACTGCACTCATCTGACCCTTCAGCTGGGAAGTGAGTCTCCAGGTACAGCCTGTTCTGTTCCCGGCTCGACAGGCGCTGGTTTTCGGTGTCTTCTGGTGGGATGGGCCACCTGAGAGGCCAGAAATGAGGGCTGATCTGATTAGGCAGTCTCTCTCACAGCAGCACTCCATTAACGAAGCTGAGAGGGCAGCTCCGGCTCCAACCTTGAGAGTCCAGGGTCTTGGAAGTCTTCAGATAATGGAATCAGGATTGACCAAGCTTCCCCGCAAACGGGGGGAATGGAAACGTGAGCCCGCAGAATTGGGGGGGAAGAGAGTGTTGTGTGTTGAGGTGGGGGTGTGGGTGTAGCCTGATAGGGCTTCAGGAAAGGGGTGGAGTATCTGTGAAGGAGGAAAGGGGTATGCGGCATTGTTAGGCTGGGAGAATTTATGTTGGGCGGGGCAGGCATGCCTGCTAAGCCGCTGCAGTCGTGTCCGACCGTATGCGACCCTGTGTGGACTGCAGCCCTCCAGGCTCCTCTGTCCATGGGACCCTCCAGGCAGGGATACTGGAGAGGGCTGCCGTGCCCCGCTCCAGGGGCCCTCCCTGACCAGGGATGTGCCACCTGGGAACGCGGGGGCAGGTGCCGCAGGAGACGCGCGAGGGTCAGCGGTCATTCCCGCGCGCTGCAGACTGAGCCGGCCCCAGGCGCTGGCCGGGGGGAGCCTCTCCCGCGCGGGCCCCACAGGGCCACAGCCCACCCGCCGCTCGGGCCCGGGCCGCCTCCTCTCTAGGCCGCCGTCTCGGTGGCCTTCCGCCCCAGCGCCGAGTTGCGTCAGCTTCGCGGGGGTCCGAACCCGGGGCGGGTCCTCGTGGGCCGTGGGCGGCTTTATTTGCATGCGCCCCGGCGAACTCGGTGGCGCGCGGACACTCGCGACGAGCCCCGACACTCGCGAGGAACGCCGGGGGCGGGGCCCGGCGGGCTGTGGGCGGGGCAGGGGCGGGGCCAGGTGTCCCCGGAGGCGGGTTCAGGCCCCCCTGGGGCGGGGCTAGACGCAGGCTAGGGGCGGGGCCCGGCGGACTGTGGGCGGGGCCCGCCGCGCCACGGGCGCCTGGGCCCGCCCACGGCCCCGCCCTGGCTCTTCCAGGCTCGGTCCCGCGGCGGCGGCGGCGGCGGCGGCGGCGGCGGCTGAGACTGACGACGGGGTGCTGAGCGCGGGCTTGGCGGAGCCGGACCCCGGGGGAGAGCGTGAGTGCGCGGGGGCGGGCCCAGGGCGGGGGCGAGGCACGGGGGCGGTGGGAGCTCTCGCGTAGAGACCGCGGCCGAGATTGGGGGCGGGGGGCGGTCACGAGGAAAGTTTGCAGGGGCCGGGGGCCCGGGGGCCAGGGCGTGCGCGCGGGGGCGCAGGGCGCAGGGCCTGGAGCGCGTGCCGGCCGAGCCCGGGAGAGGGGCCGAGGCTGCAGGCGGAGCCCGCGGCGGGCGGAGCCTGCGGAGGGACCCTCGCCCCCTTCTCCCGGGCTGGCCCCCCGCCCCCGGCACGCACCCGGCCGCCCCAGCCCGCCCCCGCCCGCCGCGCGTCCCCGGGACCCGTCCGTCCGGCCGCCGGCGGCGCCCCGTCCCTCTCGCGGGGCCTCCGCCGCCCCCTCCTCCATCCCTCCGTCCCCTCCCCCCGGCGGCCGCGGCCCCCTGTGCCCGGAGCTCCCTGCCGGGCCCCTCCAGACGGCCCCACGCCCAGGGCTCTCCCGTCTCGCGGTTGGCCCTCCCTCCTGCGGCAGTGTCCTCTCCGGCCCCGGATCCGGCCGGAGGGAGATCGCAGGGTCGGCGGAGGCGACCCTGCCTGCGGCGAGGCTTCTTTGGGCCTCCGCCCCGGGGCAGGAGCCGCCTGGTGTCTCCGCTGTGCCCTCAGGGTCCAGCCGGTCTCCGGACTCTAACGCATGGGGGATGCTTGGAGCCGCTGAAATTTTCACAGCTCTGCTCTCCGGCCCTGGTCACCGGGGTTTTCCGCTGGGCGTCTGAGCTGCTGATGAGCTGCTGAGACCCCGTCCTCAGTTGCTGGGGGGAGGGCGAGCTCTCCCTCTTGTGTGCTACAGCTCCCCGCCCGGCTCAGCCTCCAGGTGAAAGGGTTTTTCGGTTCTGGACCAGCTGGTCTCCATTTCTAACCACCCACACCATGTATCCCTGGTAATAACGTTCAAGGACAAGGAAACAGTCTTGCTTTTTTTTTTTTAATTTTATGTTTTCTGCCACGTTCCCCTCCTCCACGCACACTCGGGCCGGCTGTGAACGTTACTCACCCACCCACAGTGCGCCTGCTGCACCGGACTTGGCTGACCGGACTTGCACGGGCCTGGATGTCTCTTTCCCTCCTGCCTAGTCCCTCCCACGTGGGGAACAAGCTGGGGCAGGGTCAGAAGTGAGAGGTTTTCCCGGAAGTTGGCCACCTGAGGTCCCTTCTTTGGATCTGGTGCTGTCTTGCCAGACCAGCTGGAGTGGGTGACTTTGTGCAAGGCAGGGCCCCTTGCAGGTTGGAGCGGGTTGAGTTGTCCTCAGGGACCCCATGCATGCCAGGTGATAGGAAACATCTCTTTTCCTTTGGAACAGAGGGCTGGGGGCTCTATCAAGAGGCGGGGCAGTGGTCAGTCCGGGGGGCTCTTGAGGGTGGGATGGCGCTTCAGGATCCAGGATGGGACCTGAAGAGGTGGTGAAGTGTCTGAAGAACAGGTGACAAGACGGGGTTCTTTGGGAGACAAGGCATAGTCTGCGATGCTGGCAGCCTGTGGTTGGGGGAAAGGACGAGATGGTTTCCAAGGGAAGCCTTGTAATAGCAGCCACTGTTTAATGGCCACTTACTGGGTGCTGGGCACTGACCTCAGCATGCATGGATCCTCTGGTGTGAGCCTCTATTTTTTTTTTTTTAGTTTTGGCCACACCTCCTAGTATGTGGGTTCTCAGTTCACTGACCAGGGATCGAACCTGTGCTGCCTGCAGTGTGCGGTGGAAGCACGGAGTCTTAACCACTGTATTAAGTCTCACTATGTTCTTCATACAGGGAAACAGGTTTAGAGCAGTGAGGAACGTGCCTAAGATCACAGAGCTGGAAGGCAGGAGATCCACCCAGCATTTGAATCCTGGTGGAGCAGACCCGGAGCTCCAGTTACAGGCCGAGAGGAGGGGCACCCGTTTGGTCTCAGCCATAGGCTGGTGTCACGTGGTTTAAAATCTCTTCTGCAGCCCCCTTGGAAACCCCTCGGGTCAGGCCCAGCTGGTGAGTGATGCCCACGTAGCTCCTTCTCATGGGCTGTGGACCCTCCCATGGTGACGGGCCCAGGAGGGGAGCCCTAGGGAGTTTTCCCCCAAGCCACCCCGCCCCCCGGATGTTCTCGAGCCCGGTCCCATTCTCCCAGCCCTGGGTCTGGGCCGGCTCCTCCTTCCTCTTGGCGAGGCTCTGGAAATCCAGTGGGAGGCCATTGCTATGGCAACAGGACTAGGCCCTGACTTTACCTCATCAAATTCCGAGCCGAAGCCAAAGCGATTGAGAAATTAAAGGAAAAAAAATGTATTCCAGATGTTTACTTTTTATTCCTTATTTTTCCGTGTTTGGATGAGACGGCTCTGGAGGAGGCGGGAGTCGGGGCAGGGACGTGGAGGGAGGAGGAGGACTGGGGGGGGCGGGGAGGGAACCACTCCCAGCGGCTGGCCGGGCGCGGGAAGGGGAGGCCCGCGGGGCAGGCGGGCAGCAGGGCGGAGCCCAGGTTGGGGAGGAGCGGGTTTTTCCCGTCTCCCGCGAGGTGATTCACCGGGAGATTTTGGACTTGGCAGCCCTCTTGCCCCGGCCCTGAGTCAATCCCGTGAGTGGGGGGCCCCCGGACCCAAGGAGTTGGGGGGGTGCCTTGGGAGCGGTAAGTGGGGTGCCCTGGACAGCTGGCTGGAGGAGGGAGCAGGGGGCGGCTCCTCGGACCTGCAGGACTTTAGGGTTAGGAGACGGACTTGGAGAGCTGTGGGGGGGGTGGGGGGGGTGGGGAGAAGAGGGGAGGACGTGGCCGCCGGGGGACCTCCCGTGACCTCCCCCAGCCTCCCTGCTGAAGCGCCTGCTTCCTGTCCCGCACTGGCCTCCGCCAGAAGTCGGAGACTCCCTCTCTGAGCGCGCTGCCAGCACCCAGCCCTCTGGCTCTCTCTCTCTGCGCGCTCTTTTTTTTTCTGGGTCTTCGCCGCCCCTAGCTCACACCCCTCTGCCTCCCACTCCCAGGTCCGCCGCATGTGATACAAGTGTCTGCTCCCAGGGAAGGCGCAGCCATGGCCTCCCCAGCACCCCGGGAGCCCGACGAGGAGCTGGTATCCGCTGGCTCCGAGCCAGGTACCCGTGGGTGCGGTGTGGAGTGGGCTGGCTGGGAGGGGGGATGGAGGCCCGAACCCCCATTAGGTCTTGGGGGCCGGTGGGTGAAGGCTGACCTTGTTGAGGAGGGAGGGAGGAGTTCTGAGGACAAGCGGGATGAGCCTGAGAAGTCCTGCACTTTGGTGGAGACCCTTCAGAACTGTCTGAGGTCACAGCTCTCCAGCAGAGAACAAGCTAACCTTGGAGACGATGTGGATCAAATCACGTGTTTGACAAAGGAGGAAACTGAGGCCTGGGTGTGGGGGTGGGGGGGGGCGGGGAAGGTCATGCACCTATGCACTTGAACCCAGGCCTCCTGGCTCCCTGTCTAGATGCCTTTCTTGCGCTGAGTGGGTGATAAAGGGTCCTAGTAGCAGGGCTTTGGCCATGAGTAATTCAAGGTCTTTTATTTGGCATTGAAATGCCTTATATAGAAGGTAGGTTTCTGGTCTTTTTTTTTTTTTTCTTCTGTAGCAAGATTTCCTTCTGTTTGGCTTAGGTCAATAGTGAGTTTGCGTTCCTGGTCACACAGCGGATGACGGCAGGGAGGTGGCCTGGGTGTGCCCTGGAGGAGGGGGGCAGCAGGGTGGCAGGGTAGGGAAGCTGAGCTGGGAGAACGAGTTTGGTGTGGATGTAGTTTAGCAGAGTGACATGCTTGAGGGAAGGACCAGACTGGGGGAGACGGTGGGCTGACTGCCTGGTGTGGGCAGGCAGGCATTCATTTATTAGTTCGTTTGCTCAATCTCATCATTCACTTGGTAAGAATGTGTATTAGGTGTAAAGTGGGTGCAGTGAGAAGAAATAGCTGTCAGCTGGACCCTTAAATGGCTTTTCACTTGTAAGGGTGACTGGCTAGACATTTCGGGAATTTGGAGATGGGGGAAGATGTTTCTGGGATGTGTCTGGAAAATCCAGGAAGGCTTCCTGGAAGTGGTGACATTTGACTTGTACCTGGAAGGGTGTGGGAACATTCTGAGTCTGTAGGGTGGGAAGTGAAGTTCTGCTTCCTATTCTTCTGACATCGGCTCAACCAGCCCTTTCCTTTTGGTAGGTGACCCTCGGGCCAAACCCCCTGTCAAGCCCAAACCCCGAGCCCTGCCTGCCAAGCCAGCCCTGCCTGCCAAGCCCAGCCTACTGGTGCCGATTGGGCCTCGGCCTCCCCGGGGTCCTCTGGCCGAGTTGCCTTCTGCCCGGAAGATGAACATGCTGGCGGGACCCCAGCCCTACGGTGGTAACAAGCGACCCCTTCCGTTTGCGCCAAGGCCTGCGGCCGAGGCCCTGGCTGGGGGAGAAGGTGCCCGGGAGCCTGGGAGAGAGGAGCCTGGGAAAGAAGAGACACCCCCCTTGACCCCTCCGGCCCGATGTGCTGCCCCTGGGGGCGTGCGCAAGGCACCCCTTCCCTTCCGCCCGGCCTCCGAGCGCTTCGCTGCACCCACCGTGGAGGAGATCCTGGCCAAGATGGACCAGCCCAGGAAGGAGGGCCCAGCCAGCCCCGACCGCCTCTGGGGCTCCCGCCTCACCTTCAACCACGACGGCAGCTCCAGATACGGTCCCAGGAACTACAGCGTGGCCTCAGGCCCCAGGGATGACGCTGGGACCCTCGCCAGGGAATGGTCCCAGGAGGGGCCCATGGAGTCTCCTGCCGACTGCCCCGAGGAGCCCAGCAAGACCCCCGAGCAGAGGTGAGGGGTGGGGGGCTGTGTGTCTGGTTGCAGCCAGCCTGAGGATAGGCTGGATAGTCTCCTGTGAGATGGCCATCTTCCCTTGGGGGTTAGCTGTGCTGCGTGCGTGGGGGCCAACCCTGGACGGAGTCTCGGACCATTCCCCCCGCAGACCGAATTAGTGTGTGCTTTATTCTATGGTCGTCCTCTGTACTGAGTCCGTGTGTTTGTAGGAGAATTCAGATGTATAGCTTGGAAGTTTATTTTCAGTGCTTTTTTAATATTGAGAGCCAAACGCTGCCTCACTTAATTCACAGCCGTCCTGTGTAGTGAAGGGAACATTAGGCCCATTTTAGAGATGAGGAAACTGAGGCTCAAAAGTGACTTCCTCTGGTCCCTTAGCAAGTGACAGAGCTGGGGTTAGAATTAGGGCTTCTCTGACTCCAGTGTGTGCTGTTAGCTGCCGGCCCATGCTGTGGGTGCAGCGGTGTGCCAGGTGCTGGGGGGCGGCGTGGGTGTACGTGTCTGTGTGTGTGTGTGTGCGTGCTGGGGTGTGTGGTTGGGGGGGGTGTCTGTGTGTGTGCTGGGATGTGTGTGTGTGTGTCTGTGTGTGTGTCTGTGCTGGGGTGTGTATCTGTGCTGGATTGTGTGTGTGTGTCTGTGCTGGGGTATGTATCTGTGTGTGTGTGTATGTGTGTGTGTGTGTGCGCGCGCGTGCTGGGGTATGTATCTGTGTGTGTGTGTGTGTGTGCTGGGGTATGTATCTCTGTGTGTGTGTGTGTGTGTGTGTGTGTGTGTGTGTCTGTCTGTGTCTGGAGGGCACCGCCTGGCCGTGAAGAGGAGTCTGACGGGAGAGGAAAGCCGTGAACGCCCCTTGACACCAGGCCAGAGGCTGTGAGCATGCGGGCCGCACAGCTGGTTTGGAGACTGTCGCGTGTGGTGCCCACTTTCCCAGAGCCGGTGCCAGCGTGTCCTGGGGGCTCCTGACCTGGAAGTGTCCCTGGGCCCCGGGGAGGAGGCTGAGGGTCCCAGCTGCCTGGAGCATCCCCAGGGCAGGGAGCACCCACGCTGCCTGCCAGTCTCTCCTGTCCCCCTGGGCTCCCGGGAGGCCCACCCTGTCCAGGCTGGGTTCTGCTTCCTTCCCCTCGTTTGCTCCCAGCCGGGCTTGAAGGGCGCAACCTCGACCTTGCAGAATCTCTCTGGCTGTCTCCCTCCCCCTGCAGTCCTCCAGAAGCGTTGGCTGGGAAGCAGCTGGCTGCCCTGGGGGAGAACCTCAAGGGCTTGGGGGCTTGGTGGTCTTACTGGGAGCCCCGAGGGCGCTGGGCCAGCCACAGGCTCTTCCCAGAGGGTTGGGGGGCCTTACCTGCCGTGTGCAGGTGGGGCACACGCGCTGTGTCTGGGGTGCTCTCTCTGGGAGCTGCTGGGGTCTTTGTCCCCTGGGAGGACGTGACGGGAGGAACGTCGGGTGCCGTTCCGGTCGTCGGGCAGACCCCGATCATCCCTCCCTGCTCCACCCGCGCCAGGCATGTCTGAACTGTGCCTCCGTCTCCCCTCTTTCTCCCTCACAGGAAGCCCCCCTCGGACCTGGCCTTCAATGGGGACCTGGCCCAGCCGGCCGTCTCTGAGCCCCCGACTGATGTGAGTGCCCCACCCGTGATGACGCAGAAATGGGCTGTTTCTGAGCTGGAAGGGTCTCGTTTGCGCGCCTCTCCCACCTCCCTTAGTTTAGCCAGGGACACAGAAGCCATGGAGGAGGTTTACGTGACTTGCCGCAGGACTCAGATTCCTCAACTTTCAGGCCACCCTGGCTAAGTGTGGCTGAGGCCCCGAGGCTCCTGCAGTGTCTGCCCTTCACGACCCGCTGTCCCCTGGGCAGCCTCGGGAAGGGTGACTGACGTAACCCCGGTCATGACTCTGGCCTAGTAGGCCCCTCCGGTCCCACGGAAGAGGTGTGGACGCCAGGGCTTGAAGTGCCAAGTAACTTGCCCAGGGGCTGAAGGCAGGATCCGAGTCCAGCACAGTCCCTGGCCAGGTCTGCCCTCTCGCAGAAGAGGGGAGGCGACGTTTCAGGGGGTGTCCTGTTATAGCCCCTCTGCCCACAGTGTGCTCGGGGGTGGACAATCTGCGTTCCCGAGAAAAGGATGCGAAAGGTGGTCCGTCTTGCTCCAAGAGCCCTTGCTAGCCGGAGGCTGTCCCGTCCGGCAAGGAGAGAGACCTGAATGTGTGTGTTTGTCCAAATGTATTTATCACGCATCCACTGTGACCCCGGCGCTGGGGAGACAGCCACAGGCAAAGCGTCCACAGTCCCCCTGCTTCCAGGGAAGCGTGTGTCTGTCGCTCAGCATGTCCGACCATTTGCGACTCCGTGGACTGTAGCCTGCCAGGCTCTTCTGTCCACGGAGTTCTCTAGGCAGGAATGTTGGAGCACGTAGCCATTCCCTTCTCTCAGGGAGCTTCCTGACCCAGGGATCGAACCCAGGTCTTCTGCCTTGTAGGCAGATTCTTTACCATCTGAGCCCCCAGGGAAGCCCTTGCTCCCGGGGAATGCACCTTCTGACGTGGGCAGAAGGCAGACTCCAACACCGGGAGTCCTGCGAACCGGCAGACAGGTAGAGCGTCAGACAGGCTCCTGGGCCGCCTACCTGGACGGTCCCGGGGCGAGGGTGACTGGGGAAGGCCTTGCCAGGAAGCAGGGGATGTGGTGAGCTCTTGGATGCTTGGGGAAAAGCCTTCTTGGCAGAGGGAGCTGCAGCTACGAAGGATGTGGACTCCGCCCAGCGAGGAAGCTGGGGTGTCTGGGTTGCAGAGACAGCGGAGTTGGGTGGTGATGGGCCACTCGGGGGGCGCTGGCTTGCAGGAGGGGGAAGAGGCCGTTGAGGGGCTGGAGGAGAGGGGTGACCTTGCTGCAATTGCAAGGAGTCTCCCATCCCAAGATCTTGGCTGGGGGCCAAGGGCAGGGCCAGTCGGGGGGCTCTTGGGGTCACCCCGGTGAGAGACGACGGTGCTGTGGATCCTGGAGGTGGTCCCTGGGGGAGACAGTGGGCGGAGGGGGGCCTCTGGTTTGAAGGTGGAGTGGACAGGACTTCCAGGCAGGCTGATCTGAGGAGAGTGAGTGGAGAATGAAGGATGCTGCTGGGGGTCTCTGGCCCAAGTGATTCAGAGGTTACTTTACTGAGAAGGGGGCCTTCGTAGGGTCGGGAAGACCGGAGGAACTTGCTTCTGGATCTCTTGAGTTGGAGACACCTCGTAGATGTCCAAGGGGGTCAGTGGGGTGTTTGAGTCTGGAGCTGCAGGGATTTGTCGGTGTGCTGTGTGCAGATGGCCGGGAGACAGCTGAGGTCCCCCAAGGGCGTAGGTGAGGTGTGGGAGGGAGCCCAGGAGATGCAGGAAGGAGCGGAGGTGAGCTTGGAGGGAACCCGGCCTGCGCTTAGTGTGGGAGCTCCCTGGGCTGGGGGAGGGATGGGAGGTGGGTGGGCAGTCAGCAATCAGACGGTGTGCCCCGAGAATGGGGGGGTCTGGGGGGTCGCGGCTGACCTTGGCCAGAGTGGCGGGCATGGCGAAGTGAAGAAGGGAGCCCATTTGGAGGGACCTCAGCGGAGGCTGGGCCCAAGGATCTGAGGTGAGGGGTGCTGAACAGAGTCCTGGGTTTCAGGAAAGGGGTGTAGCTGGAGAGACGGGAGGGGTGGATTGCAGAGTGTGTGTGTGTGTTTTTTTTTGTAAGCCAGAAGAAATGAGAGCAGTTTGTGTGCTGATGGAAACGATCCAGTAGAGAAGGAAAAAAATCTGTGATGCTGGACAGAGAGAGGAGGGCTTGGCCTGAGCTCTGAGCAGGGACGGCTTGCGATCGAGGCAGGGAGCGGGGTCCCCGGGTCGGGGGTCTCTGAGTCCTCCGGGAGGGAGAGCAGGGCCCTCAGCCGGGAGAGCCTGGGTGGAGGCAGGGAGGTTTGAGGACAGACCAGATGGGAAAGCATCGCTGGGAGGTGGGGGTGCGCGGAAGGCGGGTGTTGTGGCATTGCTGGGATGTTCTGGGGCCCGTCTGAGCCCTGGGCGGCTGCGGGGAGCCCACCATCCCAGCGGCGGGCTCATCTCCAGCTGCCCGGGTGCGGCCTGGAGCTGGGGCAGAGCTGTATTGAATCAGGTTAAACTGTGGGGAGGGAGGGAATACAGGGAGCTGAGTATAAAAAGTGATGTCCTCTCGGGTGGTCTGGGAGCTCTGCTCTGGGGGCAGAGGGGTCTGTCCGGGGGTCTCGTGGTTTAAGGGCACTGGCTCCAGGTTAACCTGAGATTCACAGAGAGTGCGGAGGCTGGAAGGATTGGAGGGTGGCCTTGACGTGGGAGCAGGACACCCCCTGCCCAGGCCCAGCGGTCTGGTGGTGATGGGGCAGACGGCTTCCCATAGGAGAAGGGCGGGGGGGTGGAGCATGACCTCTGGGGAGGGCAGAGGTCAGATAGAGCAAGACTCAGGTCACAGCCTGGGGCAGGCCGGTGCAGGGGTGAAGGAGGGCCAGCTGCTGGGGGTCCCAGGGCCCCAGAGCCCCAGAGCTTCCGGTCTTCTCCAGAGTGTCCGTTCTTCCCCTGAGTGCTGTCCCCATCGGCCGGGTACGCAGATCTTGCTGAACCCTCTCCTGACCGCGAGGTGGACGTTGTTGCCCCGGCCCCAGGGTGCAGGTCAGGACGCCAGGGCTCAGAGAGACCCCGTGTGGGAAGGTGTCCAGCTGACGGGGGGGAGGTGCCCGTGTCTCCAACCTGGGCTTTCATGGCCCCCCGGGGCTTCTGGCCTGTATCCTGGGGCCCGCTGCCCCTCGGGTGGCGCTGGGACCGTGGCTGCTCAGAGCAGGGGTGCGAGCTGCTCCCAGGAGCTGGTCTGAAGCTGCTCTCGGCCTGGTGGAGTCCCGCCCCGAGGTTGCACACCCAGACAGCCAGACTCTTGAGTTTCCTTTTCCGTTTACAAAGTCAGTGTCTTAAAACATATTTATGTACTTGGCTGCGCTGGGTCTCAGTTGCGGCACGCGGGATCTTCTATCTTCACTGTAGCTGGTGGGATCCCCAGTTGTGGGGTGCAAACTTTTAGTTTTGGCACTTGGGATAGAGTTCCCTGGCCAGGGATCGAACCTGGGTCCCCCGCATCGGGAGCGAGGAGCCTTAGCCCTGGACCACCGGGGAAGTGCACGAAGCCTGTGTCCTTGACCCATGGACCCTTAGGAACAACTCGGAGGAGCCTTGGGCTTGGGTGTGCGCTGGGCGTGGTCTGAGTGATCCCCGGGGAATAGAGTGCTGTGCATTTTGTGGGGGGAGGGCCACGTGGGAGGGGTCTGCAGGCCCTGCAGTCTCCAACGCTGGAGGTCATTCCAGAGCCTCTGGTGGTTGTTCTGGGGGGCTGTCTCCCTGGACCCCGGTTTCCCCCGTGGACTGAGAGCGTGGGGCAACTAGCTGCTGACCTGGGGTCTCTCAGGGGTGGGCAGGGGCCTCCCCGAGCCGGCCGAGCAGTGACAGGTCCTGACTTTCTCTTGCAGGTTCTCCAGCCCCGGGTGCCCGCCGGTCCAGGCCCCACCTTGGAGAATGGAGGCGCCCCCAGCCCGGGCCTCCCCGCTGAAGCCCTGGGCTCGGGCCTCGAGTCTCCCCGCCTTGGCCCCCTCGAGGAGGGCTCTCCCCGCCTTGGCCCCCTCGAGGAGGGCTCTCCCCGCCACCCCCAGCGTCCAGAGGCCCAGCGCCCTGCTGCTCCTGCACCTGCCCTCCGGCCCCCCGAGACGCTGGGCTCCCCGGCTGCGGGCCCCCCTGAGGGAGGCTCCTGCCACCCTCCCCGGAGCCCAGGGGTCCCAGCTGTGGCTGCCCTGGAGGCCCCCAGGCCCGGCAGCCCCCAGGTGCCGGAGCTAGCAGGGCACCCCAGCCCCGAGCGGTCTCTACCCGCCACGTCCCAGTCCCTTACGGGAGGGGCTGAGCTGCCGGACCTGCCTCGGACGTTTGCATCCGGGACCAGGGTGGCCCCGGGGGGCGAGGACCGCCCTGCCAGCGGCCTGGCCCATCGGCGGTTTTCTGAAGGCGTGTTGCGGCCTCCCGGCCCAGACCGGGGGCAGCTGGGGGGCTCACTGGCCGCCCTGCCCCAGGCCCAGGGGGGCCCGTCCACCCTGGACCACCCCTTGGGGAGCGGGACCGAGTCCAGCTGGAGCTTATCTCAGTCCTTTGAATGGACCTTCCCGACTCGGCCTGCAGGCCTCGGGGTGCGGCGGCTGGACTCCCCGCCGCCGTCCCCCATCACCGAAGCCGCAGAGGCCGCGGAGGCCGGAGACGGGGCTGCGTCCGCCGGTGAGGAAGCCAGAAACTGGGCCGCGTCCACCCGCGAGGAGGCCGGAGGCGGGGCTGCGGAGGCCAGAGACGGGGCCGCATTTATCCGGGAGGAGCCTGGAGGCGGGGCCGCATCCACCAGGGAGGAGCCCGGAGACGGGGCGGTGTCCACCCGCGAGGAGCCCGGAGACGGGGCCGCGTCCACCCGCGAGGAGGCTGGAGATGGGGCTGCGTCCACCCGAGAGGAGGCTGGAGATGGGGCCGCGTCCACCCTCGAGGAGCCTGGGGGCGGGGCCACATCCATCCGCGAGGAAGCTGGGGACTGGCCCGCGTCTACTCGGGAGGAAGGCGTGTCCCAGCCAGGGCTAGGGGCCCCGTCGGCTGCAGAGGGACCAGGAAGACCTGCTTCCTGGGGGCCGGGGGACGACCCAGGCTCCTCCCGGAGCCCGACTGGCGGTGGGGAGGACCATCCTCTGGAGTCCCCGCCAACAGCAGGGGACCCACCTGGAGCAGCTTTACCACAGGTGGACGAGACACTCGCAGAACAGGAGCCCCCTCCGCCCGCCCGGGAGGCCGCCCTGCGCATCCTGGAGCCAGTCCTGGGGCAGGAGCAGTCAGCGCCCCCGGACCAGCCCTGCATCCTGTTCGTCGACGCCCCCGAGCCCGGGCAGGCTCTGTCTGCTGAGGAGGACCCTGTGGCCCTGGCCGTGGCCGAGACCACCCGCCCTAGGACAGCGGTTCAAGACCCCCGCCGGGCGTCCCCCGAGCCCACGGGGCCCGAAAACAGCTCCCAGTGGTTGGACGACCTGCTGGCCTCGCCCCCGCCCAGCGCCCGGCGGGGCGCCTCGTCTGAGCTGAAGGATGCCCAGACCCCCAGCGCCTGCTCCGAGGTGAGGAGGGGGGCTTCGGGGGGCCTCCTTGTTTTGACACGGATGCCCTGTATTGAGAGTTTGGGATCCAGCCGTGAGCAGGCACTTGTGCCCCTGCCCCGGAGGTCCATACCGCCTGCTCAGCTGGCGGAGCAGAGGGTGTGGGCTGTTGCTTAGAGGCTAGTCTGAGTCTGCATCTGACCCCGGCTTCTACGGCTGAGTGGTCTTGGGAACGTAGCCAGACCTTCAAGCTTCAGAGCCCTTTCACAGCGATGCCATTTGCCTCATAGGCTTGGGGGCTTCCCGGGTGGTGCTGGTGGTTAAAAATCTGCCTGCCGGTGCAGGAGACAGGGTCAGTGTCTGCGCTGGGAAGCTCCCCTGGAGGAGGGCATGGCAACCCACTCGGGTACTCTTTGTCTGGAAAATTCCATGGACGGAGGAGCCTGGCAGGCTGCAGTCCGTGGGGCCGCAAAGAGTCGGACACGACTGAGCGACTGAGGACACTTAGGCTTGTGTTGTGGGCAAGACAGACATGGAAAGCGCTGGGTGCAGGATTGGCACCCGTGAGCGTTCGATCCGTGACGACGGGTGGTTTCATGCAGGGTGCCAACAGATCCAGTTAGACACGGGCCCTGGACCCAGGCTGCCGAGTTGCTGTCTTGGCCCTGCTCCTGGCCCACGTGTGACCTTGAACGCGTGACTTTCCTGCCCGCACCTCAGTTTCTGCATCTGTAAAATGGGAAGAATGGTGCTGGGCTCTACCTCACAGGTGATGGCTGCAGTGCCTGTTAAGTACTCAGACTACCACCCATCACAAGTGCTTGGGAGCGTTGCATCTTGCGAGCGTTCCTACTGTGAAGTTCAGACTTGTTTTTGTAGAGGCTCAGAGGAGGCAGAGCCTTGTGCAGAGGTTACCCAGCAAGCTGGCAGCCAGGCCAGGGCCAGAGCGCCAATTCCAAGGCCAGTGCCCTTTCTCCTACGGGGCTGCCCAGTAAGCTCAGGGCTGGGGTCCAGGTGGCGTTTGAAACGTACTTTTCACGCCCAGCCAGGGGCTGGCAGGGGCGGGGCTGGGAGGAGGGAGGAGCCGGGGGCTTCTGGGCGGGGCCTGGGGGGACAAGCAGGAAGGAGTTAAGGCCGCCGGGCTCCCGCGGTAGGTGTGTCCGTCCGCGGTAGGTGTGTCCGTCCCGGGATGCAGTGACTCAACTGGCTCTCGGGCGGGGCCGCCGAGAGAGCTGCAGCTGCTCTGCAGGGAGCGGGGCCAGGGCCGTCGGACAGGTCCGGGCGGGCGAGGGGAGCGGCCCAGCCCCGTCGCAGCACTCGCTGCGCCCACTGGGCCCCGGGGCGGGCGGGGACCGGAGGCCGGGACCATGGCCGGGCCCGGGGACAGGGAGCCCAGCGTGTCGGTCCTGGAGAGGCTTCTGGCCAACGCTGCGCTGCGGGACGAGGCCGGTCGGCTCCGCAGCCCCGAGCCCAGGGCTCCCGCGGCTGCACGAGTGAGTCAGCGAGTTCCGGACGGGGTGGGGTTCCCGGAGCCCTGGCTGGGTCTTCTCCCTGAAACAGAGGAGGCCGTCCCTGAGGGCCGGCGGTGAGGACCCAGAGGGCTTCGCAGGGCAGCCGCCGGCAGGAGAGAGCTTCCCTTGGGGAGGTCGGGGCGGGCGTTCACGTGGTCTGGAAGGGTGAAAGGTGCCCTGGGGAGCTTGCCTTGGAGAGGGGGACGTGGAAGGGCGCAGGGTCTTGACCGCTCCTCGTTGAGGGCACACCCGCCCCCAATGCCCCGGGAAGACCCCTCTGCCAGGCAGCTCTGCTCCTGGCGCCTCGCCAGGTGTGGCCCGAGGGCGGTAAACAGGACCTCGAGATTGACCATGGAGGCCCCATGGGGTGCCGGGACCTCTGCTGAGCCCTCGGCTTCACTGATTCCGTTTAATCCTCTCGTCCTACCCCGTGTCGTAGGAACTGACCTCGTTGAACGACGGGGACCCTGCGGACCCAGAGTGGTTATTTGCCCAAGGTCACACAGCCCACATCCAAACCCCAGGCTCTCCAAAGCCAGAGTTGGGCACTCGGCAGCGCGCTCACTCTGGGCCGATCGCCACCCTAATTCCAGGCCCTGTTTCTTTGTGTGTGTCTCTCTCTGATTCCCAGGGACTCCTCGGCTGGGCCCAGAAGGACCTGCAGAGTGAATTTGGGATTGCAGGAGGCCCACATCCCGGCGGTTTCCGGCCTTCCACCTGGTCCCAGGACGCTTCTCGGGACTACGGCCTGGGGGGTGCAAGCCCTCTGGGGGACCCAGGCCTCGGAGAGAGGGACTGGGCTGGCACGTGTGGGCACGGAGTTGGGGAGGGGCGCCCCGGGGAGTGGGCCGGCAGGTGTGCCCTCGACCGGGAGGAGAAGGGCGAGGTCGGCGGCCAAGACCGGCATGGAGCGGGGGCCCTGGGAAGCCTGGGCGCCCAGGACCGGGCGATCGGGAAGCCTGGCACTCTGCAGAGCCACGAGGTGGACCTTCAGCACTGGGAGTTCGGGAAGAGGGATTCCCAGGGCACCTACTCCAGCCGGGACGTGGAGCTCCAGGACCAGGAGTTCGGGAAGAGGGACTCCCAGGGCACCTACTCCAGCCGAGATGCAGAGCTCCAGGACCAGGAGTTCAGAAAGAGGGATTCTCTGGGGACCTACAGCGGTCGGGATGCAAGCCTTCAGGACTGGGACTTTGGGAAGAGAGATGCCCTGGGTGCCTACTCGAGCCGGGATGAAGAGGGGCAGGGCCCGGAATCAGGGCAGAAGGACCCACTTGGCAGATACAGCGGCAGCCAGGACGCAGGGCAGCAGGACCAGGGGTTCAGGAGGAGCAACCCTGCACGGAGCACCTACGGCCCCCGCGGTGCAGAAACGCCGGGCAGGGACTTTGGCAGGAGCGCCTGGGTGCCGGACTACAGCGGCGGCCTCCCGCGGGACTTCGGAGCGAGAGCCCTGAGCTCCGGGTTCAGCCTCGAGGAGGCCCAGCGGCAGGACACAGAATTTGAGAAGAAGACCCCAGGCCGAGCGAGCCCCGGGGCGGCCGGCAGGGACGTGGGCTGGCCTGAGACCCCCGAGACAGCGGGTGTGTTCCCCGCCAGCGGCCCGCAGCCGCAGGATGGGGCTCTGGGGCAGAGGGACCCGGGTGGCTGGCAAGGTGGTGCTGCCTCTAGGGAGGTTGGTGGGCCGCAGGCGGGGGGCGCCCAGAGCCCGGGGGAGGCTGACTCGGAGGACAGGGATGGGGCGCGGCGGGGCTGGGCCGGAGACTTCGGCCTTGGAGTGGGCGCTCAGCCAGAGGCAGCCTTCGGCCCAGGGCGGCGGGGCTGGGGTGGCAGCTTCTGTGCGGAGGCCTCGGAGCGGAGCTCCCAGTTTGGGATAATTGGTGACGACAGGGCGGGTGCGGCCAGCCTGAGCCCTTGCGGCCAGCTGGGAGGTGGCCCCTTCCTGCCCCCCGAGGGGGCCGTGGACTGGACTGACCAGCTGGGCCTCCGGAACCTGGAGGTGTCCAGCTGTGTGCGAGCTGCCAGCTCCAGCGAAGCCAGGGAGGATGGCGTGGGACAGACGGGCTGGGCAGACCGCGGGGCTGTGACAGGCGCGGGACTGGCCGGCCATCTGCAGGGCGGAGGGGCAGAGGCCCCCGGGGGGCTTGGTGTCGGGGACCACGACTGGACTTCCGATGTTGGAGGCCCCAGCCAGGCCAGAGAGGGTGGCGTGGGGCAGACAGACTGGTCGGGCGCGGAGGCGGGAGAGTTCCTTAAATCGAGGGAGCACGGAGTGGGTCAGGCAGATTGGACGCCGGACCCGAGAGACCGGGAGCTTGGGCCCGGTGGTGTGGATTGGGGCGACAGTCTGGGCCTGAGGCATCTGGAGGTGCCCTGTGATCTAGACACGGAGAGTTCTCAGGGGCCACGGGGATGCGGGCTGGACCAGGTGGACTGGGCCCAGGACTCGGAGTTCCGAAACGTGGAGCTCCCCGGTGAAGCCAGGGAGTGTGGCGTGGGGGATGTCGGCCAGTCCCCAGAACCGGGCGTGGGGAATGATGCCCTTTCAACCCCCCGCCTGGAGGCCCGAGGCCCCTCGGAGGCCAGGGAGCTCGGGGTGGGCGAGATGAGCGGGCTGGATGCTGAGGATGGAGACCCCTTGTTGCCACTCGTGGTCATCTGCCCAGAGGAGGACGGATACGGGCTTCAGGAGTCCCCGGCCTTCGGACCCAGGTAAGGGAGCCCCACGCCGGGGTGGGAGGGCGTGAGGGCCCGTGGGCCCCCTGGAAATGGCCCCTTTTTACGCGGGGTGGAAGCTGCTCTTCCCCCAAAACTTCTAGTGTTCGGAGAACTGGGATGGTTCCGAGTGTGAATTTTTCTTTCATTTATTTATTTCTTAAATCGAATACTGACACACACACAGGTGAGTTTCTCGTTTTGAAGCGATGACTGATGATTGAGGTGTGATTTTTGCAGCGTGATTGTGTGGGTGCTGGAGGAAGCTTCCTGTGGGGGATGGTTTCTGGTGGGCCCCGGGTGCTCCTGGCCTGGGGGACATGATGCATTCCTAGGCCTGGGGGGGGGCAAGGCCTGGCATGATCCTGGCCTGGCAGGTGCAGGGTGGAGTGGGCAGTGGTGCTTAATCTCTGGTGGCTGGGAGGACCTCCGTGCTTCTTGCCTGCTCTGTCTTAAGGCCCCGAAGGGCAAGACTTCCCTGGTGGGCCGGTGCTTAGGACTCCGCGCTTTGACTGCTTGTGGGCCCGAGTTCAGTCCCTGGTTGGTGGGGGGACTGAGATCCTGCACGCAGATCGTGCAGCGTGGCCAATAAATAAAAAACAGCCACACCAGCAGAGAATAAGCCCTGGTTCAAAAAGGAACCTGAAGGACATTGGGACCTGGTTCCAGGCCCGGTGACCTTTTGGCCTCCACGCCCAGGGTGGCTGAAAAAGAACTTTCCAAAAAAAACCAAAACAGTCTGTCTCTGAGATTTTTCTGTTCTAAGGGTGCTCAAAAGGCATCGTGTTTATTTTGCCGTCACTTCCGTCTGTTGAAATCAGGTTTAATTCCCTTGACTTGAGTCGCAGGTTGGACCTTTGCCAGCCCAGGGGCTTCTCACGTGAAGGGGAGACGGAGGGGGTGCTGGGTGGGAGCTGTGTTCGCAGTGGGGAAGGGGTTGGCTGGTAGCTGGGGGGGCTGGAGGCACCAGGAAGGCTCTAAAGGGGACTGGGGTGTTGGAGGGGGTCGGTAGAGGCATTTGGGGTTGAGGATGGGGGCGGGGGAAGTGGGCAGAGCCTGGGGCCAGGGTGAGGCCCTGGGGGGCATCCCGGGGGTCCGGCCACTGCGGGGAACTGGAGGGGCACCGTCTGGGGCAAAGCATGCAGGGAAAGGCATGAGTTCCTGGACCTGTCTGAGCTGTGACTTTCCGGGTGCGGGGGTGGGGGGGAGCGTAGGCCGCCCGAGGTTGCTCCTGAGTCCTCTTCCCAGTAAGTCAGAACTCCGCCGTCTCACCTCCCCTTGGTGATCTTCACACCTGCCCTGTGAAGCAGGAAAGGGGATTTTTTTTATCACCTCTAATTTGAAGGGCGAGTGGTGTGACCCACTTAAGGTCACCGAGTCAGCAATGCCACTTTCCGACTTCTGGGTCTTAAACGCCTTCAAGGCTTTTGGACTTGCAGGCAGTGGGACCCACTGCCCTCCATCTGTTCCTGAAGGTGGGGAGGGGGAGAGAGTCTCCCGTTGTTGAGGATGGAGAGAGAGGCTGGCTAGGGGTCTGGGCAGGGGCAGGGTTCTGGCAGAGAACCTCAGCTTTCTGAACTCTGGCCTCCATCACACCTTGAAAATGCCCAGCTTTTTTGGGCTGTGTTGTACATTTGGCAAATACTGTGCTTGGACATACGGAGACTTAGAAAGTAGGGCTCTTGGCACCGAAAATACAGCAGTAATGGAAACCTGTTTACCTTTCTCCAGTGCGAGGTTTCTTGAGCTTATTTGATAAATATCCATGGGACTGGTGTTCTGAGCTTCTGACTTGGGGAAATTCTACACTTGGGAAAGTTGCTCTTTGCAGGAAGTTTTGCAGGTTCTCCTGGTAACGAGAAGTCCTCGAGGATGGCTCAGAGCCCCTGACTTTGGGCCCATCTGCCAGGCTTGGGGCCTGGTTCTGCCACTGCCTCCGTGACCCCAGGCAGGTCCCGTCACTGCTCCAGCGTCACGCCTGTGATGAGTGGGAATCATTGACTCCCAACACCCATGGGGGCCTTTGGGCTGGGGGTCCGTGTGCGGGGAGTGTCAGACCTGGTGCATGCATGGTCAGCGCTGGCCAGGTGCTCACCTCCAGTGTTGACACCTGCTTGGCAGACGTGGACGGATGTGAGCTGTCCGGGAACTGAGGCCCTGGGGGATGTTTCTGGCCATTGTCCTGCATGGGACGAAGGCCCCCTGCCTTGCAGCCATCAGCTGGGCTGCTGTCCCAACAGTTGGGACGAGAGTGGTATGGGTGCTCGGCGTGTCCCTCCCGCGTCTCGGGCTCCTTGTCCTGGGGGGAGAGGTGCTCCTGGGCCCCCCCCCCCCCGAGAGCTGCTGCACCTCCCCCTTCTCTCTCACCTCCTTGTCCTCTCCTGCCCTTGCCCCCAGGGATACAGCAGCCTCCGAGCCGTCTGGCGGGCTCTTCGCAGGGCGTGAGAGGACCCTCAGGGCTTCTGAGGGCCAGCCCCCTCGTTCTGAGAGCGGGGGGGGGGGGGGGGGGGGGGGGGGGGGGGGGGGAAGCAGCCCCAGAGAGGCAGCGCGACTTTCTCAAGGGCCTGTGGCTTGTGAATGCTGCCCCTTGGCGTTCCCTCGGGCCCCTGCCCGTGGGCATTCTCTTCCTGTCTCTCTGGGGTCAAGGTCAGCTGCTGCTCCTATACAAACATCATTCCAGCTTCCTTCCCGACCGCTCTCATTTTGGGTCTTGAAGCCTTGAGCATGAGGAAACGAGTCTTTTACACGCTGACCCACGTGTTTGTCCTGGAATGGCCCTGAGGGTGGGGTTGAATCAAGTGCCGGCCCTCGGGATCCTCCTGACAGGCGAGAGCTGGTGTCAGGTGAGACGGGCCCTCAGGCTGGGAACGTAAGAGAATGAGGAGGATTATCCTAAAAGTGCCCGCGTGCTTGCTGAGTCGCTCAAGCCTGCCAGGCTCCTCTGTCCGTGGGATTCTCCAGGCAGGAATCCTGGAGGGGGTTGCCAGGCTCTTCTACACCCAGCAAAGTATAGGTATTTACGTTATTCCCATTTTACAGATGAAGAGGCTGAGGCTCAGTGTGGATGCGTCCTTTGGCCAGGGCTGAGTGGGGCAGCGGTGCAGCCTGTGTGGGCGTAGTAGGCGGTGCTCAGGACAGGCCCCGCCCCGCCTCCTGGCCAGACCGAGGCTCAGGCTGTAGGGTCCTTAGTCCTCGGGGTTAGGACAGCCTCCCCTGGGCTGGGGGAGGGTGAGTGGGGTTCAGACAGTGGGCGGGATGCCTGCTCCCCTCCTCGCCCGCCCCCTCCCAGGGCCTCCCCCAGGGCCCACGGGGCTGCGGGCCCGCCGGGTCCCCTCTGGCGTGGACGTCTCCGCCCACCCTTGGTCTGCAGCCCCTTGGCCCCAGCCTGCCCCCAGCCTCCCCTCTGCCCCACTCGGGAGAGGCTGTTGGGCGGGGCTGCCCCTCCCTCAAGGGCGCTCCTGATTCCATGGCCGCCTCCGCCTCCTCCGCCCCACCTCCCGAGTCGCCTTAGTTTCTGTCTGTCAGCAACCTGGGGAAGGACAGACTGACACGCGCTCCCGTTCTCTCCCCGCTTCCGGCCTGGTGCTGACTCACCTGCCTCACGCTCTTCCTGTCCAGCCCGGGATCCGGGGCTTGTGGCCTGGTTTCCGGGCACTGCCCGCCTTTCCCACGCCCGTGTGCAGGGTGTGTGTGTGTCTTGGGTGTGGCTCTGCGGTGCTTGTGTATGTGTGTGTGTACAATGTGTGTGTGTTTGTTTACTCTGTGTGTGTGTGTGTCGGGTGTGGCTCTGCGGTGCTTGTGCCGGTGTGTGGAAGGGGTGACCGGTGAACGGTGCCCACTTCCCCGCAGGAGACCGTGAGTGTGTGCAGGTGTGTGTGTCTCGGGGGCCGGCGGGCAGCTGGGCCACACACAAGCTCCTCGGCGCGGAGCGCGAGCTGGTGAGCACGCTGTGCCTGCCGGGTGGTACGGGTCGTGTCTCGAGGGTGCAGCGGGTAGAAGACGCAGTTTGGGGACAAGGTGGCGTCCCCGCCCCTTGGCAGACGTCCGCTCTGTCCCAGGCCCTGGGCCACGCGGGGGACGCAGGCGGCCGGGGCCCTGCGTTGCTCGCCGACAGGCCGTGGGGACAGACGACCTGGACTTGCGGAGGGGCTGGCAGCTTCAGCCCAGGGTGTGCAGGGCTGGGGGGCGGGCCCGGGGGCTCCCCAGGGGGAATCCAGGCGGACCGAGGGGGCGGGGTGCCTGCTGGGCAAAATCAGCTTGTCCAGGTGCGCCGTTGGGTACGCGGCCGTCCACGAGGGCCGCGTGTGCAGAGAGGCGCGCGCATGGAGGCCTGAGCTGGAGGGCGGGAGGCGGCTGAGAGGCCGTCTGGGCGGGTGGACCACACCCTGGGAGGGCCGCAGTAAAGATCCGCGTCGGTGGGCATGCCCTCCGCGCAGCTCCGTGTGAGGCGTTCAGAGTCTCACTCCGCGCCCCCAGCGACTCCGTACTTAGCAGACCCCAAGGCTCCTGAGGTCCTCTGCGCGCGGCTCTGTGCAAGGTGTTCAGAGTCTCACTCCGCGCCCCCGGTGCCCCTGTAGTTAGCAGACCCTTGGGGGGTGAAGGGACGCCCCGTCGTCTCAGGAAGAGGGGAGCCTGGCATTTGAACACACCGGGCTGGCCCAGCTCGCGCCCGGCGTGCTGTCCGGGGGGAGGCGTGGACGGGCCGCAGGGAAACAGGCCGAGAAAGGCGCCCTGCGTGGCGGTGGGTCAGGCTTTGGGCGGGCCCCGCGGCCCCGCATGACCTCGGCCTCTGCTCTGTCCCCGCAGCCCTGGAGATCACTCGGCCCGCTCCCCGCCGGCAGGCTCCCAAGATCAGCCGGGGGAGAGGCTGGCCGCTCACAGCCCCGAGGCCGCGGCCCCGCAGGAGTCGGTGTCCCCAGGGCACAGGGCCCCGTCGGAGGAGGAAGGGGCCGCGACAGGTTTGGACCGAGGGGCGCCCCGGGAGCCCGGCCGGTACCCTCTACCCTCCTGGAGGCCGCAGCCGGACGGGGAGGCCAGCTGGACAGACGCGGTAGACGGGACCGGGGACGCCGCAGGGGCCCGGCAGGGCGAGCAGACCCCCCAGGGCCTGCCGGCCAGCGACCCAAGCCAGGATTTCTCCTTCATCGAGGTCAGTGGAGGGGAGCCGAGGGCAGTGGTGGGCTCTCGTTGGGGTGGTGGGGCTGCGTGAGTGCAGCAGCTCCGGTCTCACCCCGGGACCTCCCTCTTCACAGGGCAGTCTCAGCCCGGGGGGCGGGAAGCTGGGACGGGGCGGCTCCGCTTAGGTGATGGCAATCGCGTGTACCTCCATCCCCCTCAGGACACCGAGATCCTCGACAGCGCCATGTACCGGAGCCGTGCCAACTTGGGGCGCAAGCGCGGCCACCGCGCCCCGGCCATCCGGCCCGGGGGCACGCTGGGCCTGTCGGAGGCCGCAGCGTCGGAGGCGAGGCTGTTCCAGGACTCCACGGGTAGGGAGGCCTCCGTGTCGCTGCCCCGGGGGCGGGGGGCAGGGCTCTGGGGTCGCCGCCCGGGGCTGAGCTCCTGTCTCGGCCTTTGCAGAGCCACGGGCTTCGCAGGCACCATCCTCGGATGAGGAGGTGGTCGAGGAGCCTCAGAATCGCCGGACGCGGGTGACCAAGGGCCTGAAAGTCAGCCTGTTCCCCGGCCTGAGCCCGTCGGCCCTTAAGGTACCCTCTGGCCGTGCCGCCCCTGGTGTCCAGCCTGCCCTCTGTCCATCCGTCCATCTAAGCAGCCCGGATACCCTGTCCGTCCTCTGCGCCTGCTGTGCCCATGGTGGGCGCGAGGCGGGATGGAGGGAAGGACGGGGAGGGTCTGGGTCCCAGAACCCCACGGGCTGGTGGGGCGACCATGGTGCAGCGGGGTGGGGGTTCAGGTGTCCCTGGGAGTACAGGGCAGGGGCGGGCTGCTCAAAGCGAGTGCGGGACTCTGGGAGGCTTCCGGTGAGCGTCCGATCACAGCTTCGAGGCGCCTGGCGTCTTGTGTGTGCAGTGGGGCGACATCCTAGGCAGAGGGCGCAGGGTGTGCAGAGCCCCGGGGGCATCCCCGCTGGCTCCGTCCAGCCCGCTCAGGCTGGATTCAGGTCAGCAGTGTCTCCCCCAGGGCCTGCGGGGTGCCAGGCACAGCCCATTCTCAGGGTAGGTCATCGCTAAGAGACTTCCTCTCCCCGGGTAAGAGGACCATGGAGGGCGCTTGGGCCTGGGCCAGGGACGCCGCGCTCTGGGGAGAAGGCCTGGCTCTCCCTGGGCGCCTCCGCTGGCCCCGCTGACGTCTGTCCATGCCCCGGCTTCGTCTCAGGCCAAGCTGCGCTCGCGGAACCGCTCAGCTGACGAGGGGGAGCCCACGGAGGGCAAGGCGGGCCAGAAGGAGTTGGTGATCCAGCGCTCCAAGTCCTGCAAGGTCCCCGGGCTGGGCAAGCCCCACGCGCTCCCACCGAAGCCAGACAAGTCCTCAGGGTAGGTGATCTGCGTGCCAGGAACTAGCCAGCTCGGTCTTAAAAGGAAAACCCTGCTTTACAGGGAAAGGGAGGCTTGGAGGGGGTGTCATGCCACGGGTCGGCGCTCTTCACTTGGTGCCAGGATGCTGGTCTCTGCAGACAAACCCGACACCACCCCTCCTGGCGGGAGGGCATTTCTGACTCCCTTCCTCCCTCTGCCCGCTGCCCTCTAGGTCAGAAGGATCATCGCCCAACTGGCTGCAAGCCCTGAAGTTGAAGAAGAAGAAGGTCTAAAAAGTCACGGAGGTGCGGGCAGGACTGGCTTGGCCTCTCTGGGGTTGGGGGCTGGTTCAGGGCCGCTGGGGGCCCTTCCCTGAGGCCTCCGGAGGCCCAGACCTGCTTTTATGGCCCTCCTCTGTGAGGCTGGAGAAGGGCATGGCAACCCACTCCAGGATTCTTGGGCTTCCCTGGGGGCTCCGCTGGTAAAGAATCCGCCTGCAGTCGGGAGACCTGGGTTCCATCCTTGGGTTGGCAAGACTCCCTGGAGAAGGAAATGGCTACCCACTCCAGTACTACTGCCTGGAGAATCCCGTGGACAGAGGAGCCTGGCAGGCTGCAGCTCATGGAGTTGCAGAGTCAGATACGACTGAGCCACTCACACACTGCAAGGCTGGAAGGAGATGGCTCAGGCCAAGCTCTAGAGTCCTGGCTCCCTCAGCTTGGGGGCGTCCATCCCCACCTTCTTCCTAGGGCTCAAGGATGGTGGCCTGAGTGTGGTCCGCCTGCCCTTCTGGTCTGGCACCCCTGGGGGGCACTCACAAGGCTGGAGGTCCCAGCAGGGCCTTCCTCACGCTGGGCCTCGCAGAGGGGTGCCCAGGCGGGGAGGTGGAGTGTCCTCTCTGCTTCCACGTCCCCATCCAGCCTCTTCTCTTGCGTCTGTTGCAGGTCCTTCCCACCTGGCAGTCTCAGGCAGTGCCCGTCCCCATGGGGTCCCCGGCGGGAGACGGCTGAGTCCCCCCACGCCCCAGGCCACAGCCCCTGCCCGTCCACTTCTGGGGGTGTCGGGGGGAGGCCCCGATATGCACTTTGTATCAGCGTCCCAGCTCCCCTACACCACCCCTTGCTGCTGGTCTTCCGTGGTCTACGGTGTTGGTCCCTCGCTCTTCCTGCCTCCCTCTCTGCTTCCTCCTGCAGCCCCCCTTGGGTTTTCTTTTGATACCAGTTTATAGCCTTTTTTATAAAAGCCTTTGATTTTTTTGTAATGGGCGGAGCCCAGCCCCACCCCCACGTCTCCCTCCGCCCTGCCAGGGGCCCCACAGAAATCGATAATGTTTTGCCACTTGAAACAATAAAGTTTTTTGGGAATTGGTGCTGCCCCAGTTGTGATGTGTGGTCATGGCATGTCTCCCTGTCTGAGGCTGAACCCAGGAGGTGCCAGCTCTCACCCTGGCCCAGCCTGGAGCCTGCGCTGATGCCCAGCCTGTCTCTTCCCTAGCACTCCCTGGGATCAGGGACCCGGAGGAAGGTGTCTTGGTTACAGTAGGTGATTCCCGATTCGGACAACCCTCAAATCTACAGAGCTTAACATACAAAAGTTTCTTTACCAATCAGAGTCCCATTTGGGGTGGGTTAACTGTCAAATTATAGTAATAGCCCCCACACTCCCTAAAAATAATAATAATAAAAAACCCGAAAGGCTTCAGCAGCTCTGGTGGACGCCATGATTTCCAGGCTCAGCTTTAGCTGCAGCTCGGGTGATTCTGTTTGGCCCCTGTCTTCCCTGGTGGCTCAGAGGGTAAAGAGTCTGCCTGCAACGGAGGAGGCCTGGGCTCAATCCCTGGGTCGGGAAAACCCCCTGGAGAAGGGTTGTGAACCTCACAGTCCTGCAGAACCCAGGCCCCTTCCCTGTTGTGACTCAGCCGTGGTCAGGGGCCCTAGGGTCTCCATAGCATCCAGTGGAGAGGGGTCGATCCTTCCGGAGACCCCGGGGTCCACGGGCCAAAATTCAGCTCATGCCCCCTGCTGACTGTGAGGGAGAATGCAGTTTAGATGTTTGTAGGGAGAGAGAGAGAGAACCAGATATTGGTAAAAACTCATCCTTCTCACAGGAGGAGGGTGTTGGTCCCTGTGATCCCGAAGGGTCCTTTGAACCCATATATTCTAGAATGTCTTCCCAGCCCTGGTCTTTCCCACTTTAACCCCTGCCCATTGGCATCCAGCTGTCCCTCAGCCTATTCCTCTGTCTTCTCTGTCACCCTAGAGGTGCCAGCCTGTTCCAAGGCTGGCATCATCTTTCCCTGAGCTTTGGGGAAGGGAGAGACTTGTGTGGACTCACCTTAAAAGTGCACGTGTTAGTCGCTCAGTCGTGTCCGGTGCTTTGCGGCCACACAGTCTGTAGCCCACCAGGTTCCTCTGTCCATCGAATTCTGCCGACAAGAGTGGGTTGCCATGCCTTCCTCCAGGGGTCTTCCCGACCCAGGGATTGAACCCAGGCCTCCTGAATTGCAGGCGGATTCTTTACCTTCTGAGGCACCAGGGAAGATGGAGGCCAAACAGAACCACTTGCTTGGGGGGGGTCTTAATGTAACTCGAGAGTCTGACCAACACTGTGGACTCTAGAGAAATGCACAAACCAGCCCGAAATTCCCATCCCTGGCGTCCTAGAGCTATGGTCCTTGGCCTCCTAGCGTGCTTACTAAAAATGCGCATTCCAGAATTGCGATCTGGTAGGTGTGCCCAGGGATCTGCATTTTGGGAAGCCCCCTGGAGAGGAGGGGAGAGACAGGGGCCCTCCCGCGGGTGCCTGGCCGTGCCCGGGGTGCGTCTTTGCCGTGCGGCCCCGCCAGCCCTCCTGGGAGCCGGCGGAGCCGAGCTCTGCCCCTCCTCCTCGCAGGAGTAAGACTGGCAGGGGCCCAAGCCAAACACTCAGGACTCATTAGCGGGGAGAATGGAGCCGGCGGGTCCGAGAGCCGGGCTCTGCTTCCGGAGAAGGCGGAGCCAGGGCTGAGGGGCGGGGGCGGCCCGGCCTCCCTCCGCCCGAGCACCGCCGCCGGCTCAGGGCACGCGTTGGGGGTCGGAGAGAGAAGAGAGCAGCGTACACAAGCTCTGAGATGAACGGCAAGTGTCTGAGGACAGTCGGAAAAGTGTGTTCCTACCGCGCAGCCGTGCCGGGGTTCCTGGGAGTGGCCTCGGAGGGGCAGGTCTGTGGAACCTGGCTTTGAGTTTTGGAAACTGAGTCACTCGGATGCCTGGATTGGGGAATTCCTTGGGCAGTCAGGCAGACTCATCAATTTTGGTTAAAGGTGACTCTGAAGGCAATTTCTAAGGAGTTGAGTGAGCTTTAGAAAAGTCTTTATAATAAAGATACAGACTTCGAGGGCATCACTTTTTTTTTTTTTTTAAATCGCCAGTCCTCTGATATCTTAAAATATTAATATTTCTTTATCTGGCTGCTCTGGGCATTCGGGGTTTCCCTTGTAGCTCAGTCGGTAAAGAACCTGCCTGCCAATACAGGAGCCATAAGAGACGCTGGTTCGATCCCTGGGTCAGGAAGATCACCTGGAGAAGGAAATGGCAACCCACTCCAGTATTCTTGCCTGGATAATCCCATGGACAGAGGAGCCTGGCAGGCTACCGTCCATCGTGTTGCAAGAGTCGGACATGACTTAGCAACTGAACCACCACCACTGGGCGTGCGGGATCTTAGATCTTCCTTGGAGCGGGCGAGGTCTTTTAGTTGCGGCAGGCAGGATCTAGTTCCTCTACCTGGGGTCAAACCCAGGGCCCCTGTGCTGGGAGCACTGAGTCTTAGCCACTCGACCGCCAGGGAAGGTCCTGAGGGCTCCCCTTTAAAGGCAACAAGTCAATGTGTTTCTAAAGGAATCAAAGGGGTCTGTCCCACGTTCCCTGCAGCCCGAGGTTGGGATTCATGTTGGGCTGAGTCTGAGGACAAGGACGGTTGCCCGTGGCGCTCTTGGTACTTGGGTGGTGGTGGTGGGTGCTGTGGGAAGTCTACCTACTAGTGATGCCTGCTGTCCTTCCACCAGCATCCTATCCCCCCCACCCCCCGCCAAAAGTGGTCCAGCCATCTGCCATGGGTAGAGCCCATCCCCGAGACGCTTAGAGATGGGCAGTCCCAGTGGAGGAGTGAAGCAGGTCAGACTTTATCTGCTTTTGACCCTCAGGGACCCTTCCTGAGTCTGAGTTTTATTATTTGTGGCTCAGATGGTAAAGCGTCTGCCTGCAATGGGGGAGACCTGGGTTTGATCCCTGGGTCAGGAAGATCCCCTGGAGAAGGAAATGGCAACCCATCACAGTATCCTTGCCTGGAAAATTCCATGGACAGAGGAACCTGGTGGGCTACAGTCCATGGGGTCACAAAGAGCTGGACACAACTGAGCAACTTCACTTTCACTTTCAAATTAAATGTATTTAAAGTAAGCCCAAGCCTCAGCTTTAAAACAGCTGTAAAATAGAGGATCTGCTCTGCAGTGCTGTTCGAGGTCTAAATGGTGGCAACGAACGTATCTGAGACAGAGAACGTGGTCCTGGCTGGTTTTGCCTTCTTGCCTTTGTTTATTCAGGTGGGGGTGCAGAGGTACTGTTTTGGATCCATGTCGACTCAGAGGCCTGGAGCAGGCTGACCCTGGGCCTGGAAGCTGGTGGTGGACAGGGCTTCCCAAGGGCTGGTTTGCCTCTGGGACCTTGCTGAGCCAGACGTGTAGGTTCATCTGTGACAAGCCTTTGGCTACCGAGCAGCTGCCCTGCCTCCCGGCCCCTCCCCTGCCAGAGGGGGCCCATCGCAGACAGGAAACACGCTGGCTGGTCTCAGAGATGCAGCCCTCCACCCCGGGAGAGGGCCAGGCCCTCGCGGCTGCAGCCTCCTGGGTACAGAATGATCAAGTGGGTTTTAACCGCTGCCCAAAGACTGACTCTAATTATACTTTCATTTATATGGCACTCTGTGTCCAAAGGGCCAAACACCCATTCATTCTTTTTTTTTAAAAGACTTTTAAGTTTTTCGAATTCTTTTTTTTCTCATGAGAAAAGCAAAACAGATTCATGGTAGACCAGTTAGAAAATACAGAGAAATATCAATACAATTAAGAAGGAATTGCCTGTCCGTTTACCACCCAGCTACACCTTTTTAAAAAAAGACTCATTTTTATTTTAGAATAGATTAAAATTGCTCAAGGGGTACAGAGTTCTTCTCAAGCCACACCCAGTTTTCCTTAATGTTAATATCTGACATTAGCGTGGTACTTGGATTGCAACAAATGAACCTTAGTCGTTACCTAAGACTCCTTTTCTGTTCCAGGAACGCACTCAGGACCCCACGTTCCGCTTCCTTGTCATGTTTCTTGAGGCTTTGTTTGGCTGTGACTGTTTGAGAGTTGCCTGATTTTGGATGATCCGGCAAGTTTGAGGAGTGCTTGTAGAATGTCCTTTAAACTTGAGTTAGTGTGATGTTTTTCTCCTGATTAGACACCAGTTGTAGGTTTTTAGGAGGGAGAGGTAGAGTGCCGGGGGACTTCCCTGGTGGTCCAGTGGCTAAGACTCTGAGCTGTCAATGCAGGGGGCCAGGGTTCGATCCCTGATCAGAGAACTAGACCCCACATGCTGCGACCAAGGCCTGGTGCAGCGAAATAAATAAACATTAAAAAAGAAAAAAAGAAGTAAAGCACCATGCTTATGATATCATATCAAAGATACATGCTACCCAGTGTGGTCAAAAATAAATAATGAAAATTTAAAAAATAAAGGTACTTGCTATCCATATGACTTGTCACTCTTTATTAACCCGATCACCTATCTGAGGCAGTGTTTGTCAGATTTCTACAGCGTGAATCTTTCAGTTGTGTCTGACTCTGTGACCCCAGGCTCCTCTGTCCAAGGGATTCTCTAGGCAAGAATACTGGAGTGGGTTGCCACGCCCTTCGCAGGGGATCTTCCTGACCCAGGGATTGAACCCACGTCTCCTGCACTGCAGGTGGATTCTTCACCATCTGAGCCAACAGGGGAGACTTCTCCGCCGTGAAGTGTCTTCTCGCTCATTGCAGTCATGGCAGAATCCTCAAACCGTTGTTCATACACAACCTCAGAACTGCGGTAGTTACTGGACTGGCCTCCAGAGCTTGTTTAATGCATTAACAGATAAACGTATATATCACCATGGCACAAATCTGCTTTTCAGTCGTTTGATGACTGCTTTCTAGTGAGAGTCCTAGGTCCTCCCGTTTCTACTGTGGTTTGACGTCTGTGTTCACAGTAGAAAGAAACACTCCACTTCGGTTGGCATTATTAAACGCTTAGTGAACATCTTTCCCCCTCACTCCAAGTTCACAGATGGCTGAGTTCCTAACAAGGACCCCAGGTTTTGAAAAGGAGCTGGTGGATGCCGGGGAGATCCAGCTCTTCCAACATGTGATTGGAGTCTGCTCCCAAGGGGTCGAGGGGGTGGAGAGACAGGAGGAGCCCTGTATTCTGTGGGTATCGACCCCCCGCCCAGGCGCACCATGGGGCCTTGGGAGCCTCAACCTGGCTTTCCCAATCGCGCTGTTCTGGAGGTTTCAGGGAAGCCGGCTGGCAGCTCCCCACGGAGACTTTGCCCTCACTGACGAACGGCTGCTGCAGCGCGTCTATTGACCGGGGCCCTTTGTTTTCAAGAAGCAACCTGCCTTTCTCCTGTTAACCCCTGCCGGCCTGGCTCCGAACAGGATGCCTTCTGTGCTCCGGGCTCGGTACCAGGACAAGAGAGGTCAGGAGAAGGGGAAGATCGGAGATGCACCTGCCAAAGGCCAGGCGCTCTGCAGGGCCCTCTCATCCAAGTGTTCAGCTCTTTTCATCTCCTGGCAGGGCAGGAGGGAGATGTCAGACCCCGGGTCTGCCCGTCCTGCTGTGCTCTCTCCGGGGTTCCAGAAGCTTTTAGCTTTGCTTTGCCACCCGGGTGAGTCTGGGGTCTTTTCCACTCCAAGATACACACATAGGCAGCCCTTCCTGTCTCTCTCTCTCTCACACATACACAGACACACACATGCTTCCTCAGGTTCACAGCCAGTTTGGGAATGATTGCACCCAGCAGGAGAAGAAGCCATTGACTCAAGCTCTGGGGTTCTAGGAAGATAAGAAGGCAGCCTCCGCCCCCAAGTCTGCTAGTTTTCAGCCCCTGGCAGCCAGGATCGTCATCATTAGCAACCCACATCTTTGAGTCAAGCACTGTCCTCCCTGGGGCTCTTGGTTTAGAATATGCACTCTGTATGATCGTGTGTGCATGCTAGTCACTTCAGTTGTCTCTGACTCTATGCGACCCCACGGACTGTAGCCCGCCAGGCTCCTCTGTCCATGGTTTTCTCCAGGCAAGGATACTGGAGTGGGTTGCCACGCCCTCCTCCAGGGGATCTTCCCGACCCAGGGATGGAACCCACATCTCTTACGTCTCCTGAACTGGCAGTTGGGTTCTCTACCACTAGTGTCTCCTAAGCCCCTCAGGCGCTGTAATTCCTCGGACTTTAAAGTCTTCTGTGAGTGTTTGTGCAGGGGGCAGGGCAGAGGCACAGAATGGGAAGTCATGAGCTCTGAGGGCCCGGGACCCAGGCCAGGGCTACGCTGAGACACTCCGCAGACTTCTCCATGCAGTGCAACCTGACAGACGTTTATCGGGCCATCTGTTACTCATGCTGGGGATGTGGAGATGAGTCAGGAATAGCCCGCATCTCAGAGTCAAGAGAGATGACTACAGGAGGTAAACTGAAATCCGGTGTCACAGAGACAGTCGTGGTGACTAGGTACAGTGCAAGACAGGGCAGAGTGCTATGCTGACCTGGGTGAGCTTGAAGGGAAATATTATTAACCACTTAGCAAAGCGTGCAAGGTGGAGCTTGTTGGGGGCTGGGGAGGGGTGGGCGGCGCACGAGCGAAGGAACAGCACCCCAGGTGGGTGGGTGGATCGGGGGTGGTCAGCCTGGGCAAAGCCAGGGTGAAAACGTGTGACGCTGACGATGGGGGCTGTCTTAGTCTGCCCCGGCTGCTATAACGAAACACCACAGCTGGGCAGCTTAAGCGACAGGCCTCTCTCCATGGCTGGTAGGTGGCCACCATCTCCTGTGTCTTCCACATGGGCTTCCCTCTGTGCATGTTCCTGTCCTAAAATCTTCTTTAAAAAAAAAAAAATTTATTTATTTGGCGGCACCAACTCTTGTGGCATTCGGGATCTAGTTCCCTGACCAGGGATTGAACCTGGGCCTCCTGCGTTGGGAGTGTGGAGTCTTAGCCATTGGACCACCAGGGAAGTTCTTCCTCTTCTTATAAGGACACTAATCATAGTGGCTTGGGGCCCACCCACATGCCCTCATTTCCACAGAACGCCCTCTTTAAGGACGGTGTCTGCAAACACGGTCCCAGTCTGAGGCCTTGGGGGAATTTCTACATGTGACTGCAGGGCAGAAGGCACAGCTGAGGCTGTGGGAAGAGGAGTTGCCTGTGGGACACGGAGGGCCGCTGGGGGTGCGCGTGGACGGAGCTGGGTCAGCAGAGGCCTTGGCTGTCAGCCTTAAGCTCTACCTTACAGGACGCGGGGGCGCCCGCACCTGGTCCTAGGAGCTGCAAAGTGAAAGTAGCTCATCTGTTCCTGTTCCCAGCAGCCTGGAAAGTCTGGGCGGGGCGCGATCTCACAGGCTTACCTCTCCCAGCAGGGCTGGCCATCGGGGCCCCGCCCCAAGCAGGGGCCAGGCCCCCCACCCACCCCGGTCCCGGGCGAGTGGGAGCCCCGCCCGCTGTGGGAGTCCCAGACGCCTGTCTTGTAGGAAACCTTCTTGCTGTCGGGAAGTCCCATCTGGATTGGCAGGGTTGGCCGAAGACCTCTCCAAGCAGCGCCCGGTGGACAATGAGCGCTCAGGCCTGCTCTCCAACCGCAGGAAGCCGGGCGGAGCTCTGCCTGGAGGGCGCCGGCCATCCCGGGCGTGGGGCGTGGGCCGTGGGCCCCGAGGAGGTGTGAGGTCCCCCGTTCAGGTCCCTCCACCGCTCTGTTTCCGGCTTCCTCCTCCGTAACACGAGGGCCCGGCCTTTCGGCCACTAGCTCTAGGATTCCGAAACGAGAAGGAAATGGAGGCAGAAGCGCCGATTGAGAGCGTGGAACAGGTGCCCCGAGAGCCTTTCTGCGCCACCTCCCACCCAGGACTTTACCGGAAGCTGGCTGGCCGGGATGGAGGGTGAGGTGAATACTTCCGCTGAATGATTAAAGGAAAAAAAAAAATTGTTGACCTTGCGTGCCCAATTCATGAATTTTAAGCACAGAGCTTTGATGAATGTTTGCGTACCAATAAGTTTGTGTAACCACCACTCAGATCAAGTTATAGAATGTATGTAGCCCAGAAGACTCCCTTCCTTGTAGCTTTTGCACCCCACCTCCAGGTCACCACTATTCTGACTGTAGATTAGTTTCCTCCTTGAAGGCCCATCAATGGGCTTTCCGGGGGCTTAGGGGTAAAGAAGTCGCCTGCCAATGCAGGAGATGGAGGTTTGCGCTCTGGGTCGGGAGATCCCCTGGAAAAGGGCATGACGACCCACTCCAGCATTCTTGCCTGAAAATTCCTTGGGCAGAGGAGCCTGGTGGACATAGAGTCCCAGAGAGTCAGCCACGACTGACCAGTGAGCATGCACACAGATCACATAAGGGAATCATAGGGGACGTATACTTTTACCTCTGGCTTCTTTCGACACTTGTTACATCTGAGAGAGTCTCCCACTGGATTCTGCAGGAAACAGGGCAAAACCTCCTCAGTCTCTTCCTTATATGCCCCTTGACTTGGCCCCCAAATTCCTTGGCATTTCTCCTGGCAAAGTGTCCCTGCCCTTGAATCTGGGTGACTTGTGACTGCTTTGACCAAGAGTGTGGAGAGCGACGCTGGACTTCCTAGGCGAGACATAAGAGATGAGGCAGCTTCTGCCCGATTTGCTGGAACGCTGCTGGTTGGAGTGCTGGCTCCCCAAGAGAGAAGTCTCACTGCCGGAGGCCGCCGTGATGTAAGAAGGCCAAGCCACAGGGGAGACCACGTGGGTGCTCTATCCGTCTTGAGTCTATGCAGCCCAGGCATCCGGCAGGTGGGTCAGCGGGTCCCTGAGGGTTGCGGCCCCCCGATGTCCATCATCCTCGGCCTTTTCTGCCCCATTGAGCCCGAGGACATCATGGAACAAAGTCAAGTCACTGCCCTGGTTGACCTGTTTCCCAGGTCCCTGACTCACGGAATGCATAATTAAACGGCTGTTTTAAGTTACCAGGTTTGGGAGTCATTGGTTACCCCAATAATAACTGGAATACGGGGTGAGAAGTGGCTGGATTTGGGAAGGCTGAGTCCAGCCTTCTCCCTGGGTGGGAAATGGCGAGAAAATCTGCTTTCCAGAGCCTACCTGCTGCTTCAGAGCCCTGCTGTGGTCTCATCTTGTGGGCCACTCTGCAGACCTAGTCTTCCTGGTTTTAGGCCAGTTGTCCACTGACCCTCTGCTTTGCCCACCCCAGAAGCCAAAGGCTTCTCCTAGAAAGGATGTGATTCCTCCCTCTCAGAAGCTCCTGAAGAGGGGCGTGCGTGGAATACTGGGGGAGTACAGACAATCTCTGCTCTGTGCAAAGAACACAGAACACAGTGCCAGGCACGTGGTGCTCAAGAGAGGAGGATGCTCTTCGCTCAGTCGTGGCTGACTCTTTGCAACCCTGCGGATGGTAGTCCGCCAGGCTCCGCTGTCCGTGGGATTCTCCAGGCAAGGATGCTGGAGTGGGCTGCCATTTCCTTCTCCAGGGAGTGCTGAAGAGACCTGTGTACCAAAAGCACCATTACCCACCCACCCCCACCTCCAGGGGTCCTTTCGGCGGCCGCTGGGTGGAGACCCTGCTCCGGGAGCAGGACTTCGGTGTCCCGGCTCTTGGGACTCTTTTCTGAGAGTGCAGCTCTGGGTCACGCTCATTGCCTACACTGAGAATGGCATCCTTGCTGGGGGATGGAGCGTAGGGTGGCACTTAAAGAGGCAGACAGAGGTGGCACAGTGGCTCTTCCTCCTATTGGCTGTGTGACAGTGGGGAAGCTGTCTGACCTCTCTGAGCCTCCAGTCCCCAATTTTGTAGAAAGGGCATAGTAATAAATAGCCCTGGCTTTGTCCAGGACTGCAGTGAAGACTAAATGAGGTAATAGTGCGTGGACAGCATCAGCTTGGGCAGAGTAAGCCTTCCATAAATGTCAGCCCAGCCAAACGAAAGGAAATGGAGTGGGGAGGAGGGGAGTGTATATGATAGGAATTATTATTGATCTTTTCAGACGAAGAAAAGCCCTAAGGTCGTGGAAGTAATACAGGGAAGCGGTGTGGTGCCAAGTCGGATCTGATTGTTGCGGATGCCCATGCTCCTTTCTCTCTGCGTTTTTCTCATCAGAGCAGATGCCTGTAGGTCTGGAGCCTATGCGTGACCTTGCAGGGCTTCCTGACCTGCCCAGGCTCGCAGCCATGTCCAAGGTCAGTGGAGCTGGGTTGCTGTCTTTGCAGTGTGGTGGGCAGCCCACTGCAGTGCATCCTCCAGCCCCAGTGAGCTGGGCCCTGCCGGGCTGCAGCCACTGAGAAGCCCTCTGGGTCTAGAAGGTTGCACTGCAGTACAACTGTCCTGCCTTCCAGAAGGCCCTGATTTTTTTTTTTTTTTTTTTGTGACTTAGACTGAATGCAGGTGCTTAGAAGTTGTGCTTGTTTCAAGCAGGTGTACCAGGAAGAGTCTAACTGATATTATTATTTTTAACAGCTTTATTGAGATATAATTTACATATACAAATCACCCATTTAAAGTGTACAATTCAGTGGCATTTAGGATATTCACAGAGTGGCATGACCTCCATCAGTTTTAGAACATTTGTTTCACCTCATAAAGACACATTGCACCCCTTGGGCATAACTGTCTGCCCTCCCCTGACCCCATCCCCAGGCAACCACGAGTCTACTTTCTGCCTCTGTAGATATGTCTCTTCTAGACATTGCATATAAATGGAATCATGTGTGGTCTTTTGTGTCTGGCTTCTTTTACCTGGCGTGTTTTCAAGGTTCATCCATGTTGTGGCAGGTACCTTTCCTTTTTTATTGCCGAGTAATATTCCTTGTAGGACTTTACTCCATCCTCTTTGATAGGCTTGGGTTGTTTCCACTCTTTGGTTGTTCAGAAGAGTGGTTTTACACATATTTGTGAAACAGGAGGGAGAGGGGCCAGGGCACAACCTCTGAAAGGGTGACATAGCCTGAGGACACGACACGAACAGATTAGAAACAAACAGGTCCACGATGGTGGATGGACTGACTTCCACTAGACCTCGAGCCTCAGTGCCTGCTCACTGTAACACATGAGCAAGCTAAATGACACCCTGCAGCTGCCGTGACAGTCGCCAGTCTGACAATAAAGGTCAAAAGGTGTGCAGTAGCCCAATTCCTGGAAGTCCCTACCCTTCCCCCCAAATAGCTGGAGTACTTCTCCCACTCACTAGTCTATGAAATTCCCCACTCCTATCACACTGACAGCCTCAACCCCTGGCACCTCTCTCACCTTCTGAGATGGCTCAGGCTTTGTGGAGTGTGTTTTTCTCTAAATAAATCTTCTTACCTATCACTTTGTTTCCCATTGAATTCTTTCTGCAATGAGACATCAAGAACCTGAGCTTCATTAAGTCCTGAGACCAGGTGTGTGTGTGACCTCAGTTAAAAGACCATGTGTTCAAGACTCAGTCTGAGTTTCACAGTTCCATTTGTGCACATATTTCTGTGTAGACATATGTTTTCATTTCTGTTGGGTACAAACCCAGGAATGGAATGCCTGGTTACACAGAAACTCGATGTTTAACCTTTTGGGAAACTGCCAGGCTGTTTTCCAAGCAGTTGCACCATTTTACATTCCCACCAGCCATGCAGGAAAGTTCTGATTTCTCCAACTCTTTACCAACACCTTTTTTTAATTCCAGCCATCCTCATGAGTATGAAGTGGTGTATGTTTGTAGTCTTGCTTTGCATTTCCTTGATGGGTAACGATGATGATCACCTTCCATTTGCGTATTGAGCTTTTGTATATTTTCTTTGTAGCAATGTCTCTTCAGACCCTTTTCTGATTTGTCTTTTTGTTATTGGGTTGTAAGAGTTCTCTATGTATTCTCCATACAAGTTCCTTATCCCGGTTGATTTGGAAGAATCGTTAGGAAAGGCCATTACATAACTTCCCCGATCCTGTGTTTACTGGCTGGAGAATTGCATCAGAAACAAAACATTGCTTCATTCCTGAGGCAGAGCTGATACCTCTTGGAAGCAATATACATTCCTGGTGTTGGTGAAAACAGATGAGATCGTCCTGCTTCTCATTTCTCTTTTCCTGAGTTTTGTTTAAATCAGCGAGTCTCATGTGGTATAGAGGGGAGATACATGTCAGAAGCACCTGTAGGACTCTTTCCTTTTTTATTTTAAGAGAATTTAAAAAATTGCTTTATTTATTTGGTTGTGCCAGCTCATAGCTGCAGCATGTGGGATCTAGTTCCCTGACCAAGGATCCAACACAGGCCTCTGGATTGAGAGTGCAGAGTCTTAACTACTGGACCACCACAGAAGTCTTTGTGGGACTCTTTCAACCCTCAAAAGCCTCAGCTTCCTCCAAAAGTTAGATACGCTTTCATCCTTCCTCTGGTCCCCATTATCTTTTTGAGAACCACTGTCCTAAAAGGAACGCTTTGAGATGAAGACTGGCATGGCAGGAAATGGCCTCTATGTTTGTTGCTGTTCACTCACTCAGTCTTGTGCAACTTTGTAACCCCGTGAATGGCAACGCGCCAGGACTCCCTGTCCTTCACCATCTCCCAGAGTTTGCTCACACTCTTGTCCACTGAATCAGTGACGCCATTCAACCATCTCATCCTCTGTTACCCGCTTCTTCTCCTGCCTTCAATCTTTCCCAGCATCAGGGTCTTTTCCAATGAGTTGGCTTTTTGCGTCAGGTGGCCAAAGTATTGGAGTTTCAGCTTCAGCATCAGTCCCTCCAATGCACACCGAGGACTGATCCCCTTTAGGATGGACTGGTTAGATCTCCTTGCAGTCCTAGGGACTCTCAAGAGTCTTCTCCAACACCACAGTTCAAAAGCATCAATTCTTCGGCACTCAGCTTTCTTCACAATCCAACTCTCACATCCATACATGACCACTGGAAAAACCATAGCCTTGACTAGATAGACCGTTGTTGGCAAAGTAATGTCTCTGCTTTTTAATATGCTGTCTGGGTTGGTCATAACTTTCAAGCGTCTTTTACTTTCATGGCTGCAGGCACTGTCCACGGTGATTTTGGAGCCCCCGAAAATTAAATCTGTCACCGCTTCCACACGGTCCCCACCTCCTTGCCATAAGTGGTGGGACTGGATGCCATGATCTTGGTTTCTGAGTGTGGAGTTTTTTTATGTATTTATTTGTCTGTGTCAGGTCTTAGTTGCGGCACTTGGTGGCTTCATTGCATTACGTGAAATCTTTCGTTGAGATGCATGAACTCTCTAGCTGCTCCAAGGCATGTGGGATCTTAGGTCCCCGACCAGGGATCAAACCAGTGTCCCCTGCATTACAAGGCAGAGTCTTAGCCCCTGGGCCCCGCGGAAGTCCTGAATGTTGAGTTTTAAGCCATTTTTTTCACTCTCCTCCATCACCCTCATGAAGAGGCGCTTTAGTTCCTCTTCAACTTCTGCCATTACAGTGGTATCCTTTGCATATCTGAGGCTGTTGATATTTCTCCCAGCAATCTTGAATGCAGCTTGTGATTCATCCAGCCCAGCATTTCACATGATATGCTCTGCATAGAAGTTAAATAAGCAGGGTGACAATATACAACCTTGACGTACTCCTTTCCCAATTTTGAACCCGTCTGTTGTCCCATATCTGGTCCTAACTTATGCTTTTTGTCCTGCATACACGTTGCTCAGGAGATAGCTAAGGTGGCCTGGTATTCCCATCTCTTTAAGAACTTTCCTCAGTTTGTTGTGATCCACACAGTTAAAGGCTTTAGCGTAGTCAGTGAGGCAGAGGTAGATTCTTTTTCTGGAATTCCCTTGCTTTTTCAATGATTCAACAGATATTGGCAATTTGACTCTGACTCCTCTGCCTTTTTAAAATCCAGCTTGTACACCTACAAGTTCGTGGTTCACCTACTGTTGAAGTCTAGCTTGAGGATTTTGAGCAAAGCATTATTTTGCTAACATGTGGATGACATGAGCACAGCTGTTTGAGCATTACTTTACTAGCATGTGAAATGCGTACAATTGTGCGGTAGTTTGAGCATTCTTTGGCATTGCCTTTCCTGGGGACTGGAATGAAAACTGACCTTTTCCAGTCCTGTGGTTATTGCTGAGTTTTCCAAATTTGCTGGCATATTGACTGCAACACTTTAACAGCATCATCTGTCAGGATTTGAAATAGCTCACCTAGAATTCCATCACCTCCACTTGCTTTTTCATAGTGATGTTTCCTAAGGCCCACTTGACCTCATACTCCAGGATGTCTGGCTCTAGGTGAGTGACCACACCATCATGATTATCTGGGTCATTAAGACCTTTTTTGTATAGTCTTTCCATGTATTCCTGTCACCTCTTCTTAATCTCTTCTGCTTCTGTTAGATCCTTGCTGTTGCTGTCTTTATTGAGCCCATCTTTGCATGAAATGTTCCCTTGGTATCTCTGATTTTCTTAAAGAGATCTCTAGTCTTTCCCATTCTATTGTTTTCCTTTATTTCTTTGCATTGTTCACTTAAGAAGGCCTTCTTATCTCTCTTTGCTATTCTCTGGAACTCTGCATTCAGTTAGGGATATCTTTCCCTTTCATGTCTCTTCTTTTCATAGCTATTTGTAAGGCCTCCTCAGACAACCACTTTGTCTTCTTGCATTTCTTTTTCTTGGGGATG